GGCTTTAGAGGAGCAGCAGCAACAGCAGCAGCGGTAACACCACCTGCATGGCTCACCAGAGCACGCAGTGCACCCAACATTCCTACCGCACACAAAACAGCAGCGAGAAACGCTCCTGAAGTTCTGGAGAAGCGTGTCCCGCCTACCCCACCACTCCCAGCCACGCCCCCTCCGTCTCCTGCTGACGTGGAGAATCTGGGTGCATCTGCACCGTCGATTGCGGAAGCGATGCAAGCGGGAACAAGTGGTGACTTGGCAGGAGGGGAAGGAGGTGACGTGGCACGGCTGAGGGCAGTTGCAGAAGAGCTTATACTGAAGGGGGTGAGTGAGGAAGAGGCGGAGGAGGCTGCAGAGGCTCTGGTGGAGGTGGAGGAGAGGGAGGGAGAAACGCCAAGCCTGACAGAAATGGATACGACAGAAATGGGAAAAGCAGAAACGGGAACGACAGAAGCAGGAACGACAGAAACGAGGGCAATCACAAGGAACAAGGCCCTGGAGGGAGCAGGAGGAGTGGAGGGACGAGAGACTGGAGAGTCAATGAAAGGTGGGCGGAGTGTGGGGGTTGCAGAGTCAGGAGAGAGCATGGAAGGTGTGGGAGGAGTGGAAGGCGGGAGGGCGAGGGAGGGGAGTGAGAGTGAGGGGTCGGACGAGGTGTTCTATGATGCCCACATGTCGTTCTATGGGCCGTTGGATGCCGCAGAGCAGGAGAATCTGAGGGTGGCCGTGCAAGCAGCCATTTCAGAGGCTGTAGCAGAGGGATTGAAGGGGAAGGAGGAACCTGCGGTAAGTGGGGAGGGGCCTGTGGCAAGTGGGGAGGGGCCTGTGGTAAGTGGGGAGGGGCCTGTGGCAAGTGGGGAGGGGCCTGTGGTAAGTGGGGAGGGGCCTGCGGTAACCAGGGAGGGGCCTGCGGTAACCAGGGAGGGGCCTGCGGTAACCAGGGAGGGGCCTGCGGTAACCAGGGAGGGGCCTGCGGTAACCGGGGAGGAGCCTGAAGTAGCTGGGGAGGAGCCTGTGGTGACCGAAGAGGGCCCTGTGGTAGTTGGAGAGGGGCAAATGGTAACCAGAAAGGGGCTTGTGGTAACCAGAGAAGGTTCTGATGTAACCGGGGAGGGGCCTGTGTTGACTGGGGAGGGGCTGGGGCCCAAGGCGGCACCTGAAGAATCACCTGAAGCGTTACCTGAGGCTGGAACGCCACCTGGTCTGTGGCAGCTGCCACACGAGGAGACTTCAACATTGGAGCATTCATTAGAGTCACCGCCATCATCCCAGCCTCCCATCGCTGCTGCGCTCCCTCTATCTCCCGTTGTGGCTCCCCTTGTTGAGTCAGGTCCTTCACAAGCACCAGAAACAGCAGCTGCTGCACCCCTTCCCCTCCCACCCACTTCAATTGAGCTGCCTGCTGCTTTTGTTCCTGCTGCTCCTGGTGCGGCGTCAGCAGCACGCCCCCTACAGTCAACAGAGAAAGAAGAGGAGGCTGCACCCTCTGCTTCCAAACTCAGTTCCACTGAGCTGCTTCCTGCTACTGTACCAGCGGCAGCTACTCCTGCTGCTGCTCCTGGTGCCGCTGGTGTTCTCTCAGCTGCAGCAGGCGCAACAGGGGAGCCTGCAACCGATGTGCTCTCTGCTGCTGCTGCTGAGTCGGCAGAGCCGTCGATTGCTGTTGCAAGTGCCGAGTCATCAGGTCCGGATGTTGTTGCTGCAGAATCAGCAGGCCCTGGTGCTGTTACTGCTGAGTCAGGAGGGGTTACTGTCATTGACAGTGAACGGGATACAGAGAGGCAGAGGCTTGCAGTGGCTCTAGCAGTGGTGGCTGCAGCAGGAGCGCAGGCTATAGCAGGAGCACAAGCAGGAGAAAGTGGAGCGAAGGGTGTTGGGGAAGGAATGGAAGGAAGGGTGGCAAAATTCCCTGCCTCTGATTTGCCACTTGTAGCAACTGGTGCTGCTACTGGTGCGGAAGGTGCTGCTGATGATGCTCATGCTACTGGTGTTGCTGTTGCTGCTGGTACTGTCACTGGTGACGGTGGTGGTGGTACTGGTGGTGCAGAGGAGCGTGTTTCCATGGTTCATGCTGTGATGGCAGCAGCAGGCGCACGTGCTGCTGCAAGCATGGCAGCAGGAGGAAAGGACGCTGAAGGAACCAGCAACCCTGGCGTTAAGACTCCAGGTGGCATGGGTGGCATAGGTGATCGAGGTGGCTTGGCTGGCTTGGCCGGCATGGGCGGCATGGGTGGCGCAATGGGTGGTACTCATGGTGGGAGGAGGGAGGAGAGCGCAGCAAGTGAATGGAGCAGCCAGTCACAGGAGGGGTCGCCGCCTGGTGCGAGGATGAAGAAACTGGGCGAGGTGGAGGAGATGATTGGAGAAGGGGATGACGGGGTAGCAGGGGAGGAGGCGGAGGGTTCTGTGTCAGAGCAGGGCGGATTGGTGGGGGCGAAAGGAAGACTGTTGGGAGCACGGATGATGGGAGAGGGACAAGAGTTGGGAGGTTCTGAGCGGGAAGGGATGATGGAGGAAGAGGTTCTTGGAGCTATTGTGGAGGGTGACAGGGAGGGAGACGAGGAGGGAGAGCAGGGTTGGGCTGGGACGGCTCAGGAGGCAGGTGTCGTGCAGGGAGAGGTGCCTGCAGCAGCTGCTGTTGCGGAGAAGGGAGAGGTGCCCGATGGTACTGCTGCTGCTCCAGACGAGGAGGGAGGGGTGCCTGGTGATGGTGGTAGTGGTGCTGTTGCGGGGGAAGGCGAGGTGCCTGCTGCTGCTACTGCTGCGGAGGAGGAGGAGGAAGGAGAAATGGTTCCTGGTGGTGGTGGTGCTACCGCTACTGCTACTGCTGAGGATGAAAAGGTGCCTGCTGCTGCAGAAGAGGGAGAGACGACTGCTGTTGCAGAGGCAGCGAGAGAGGTACCGGCAGATGAGAAGCCAACACTTGGCACCGTGGTTGCAGCTATGCTACCCTCGACGGTGGTGCGTATGCTGGGGTTAGAAGGTGAGGGCGAGGCAAGCAGGGGGCGAGTGGGGGAGACGGAGATGCTGGTAGAGGCAGAGGAGGAGCAGCAGCAGGAGCAGGCAGGGTGGAAGGGGCGGGAGGAGAAGAAGCAGCAGCAGAAGGCTTGGCAACAGGAAGAGGAGCAGGAGCAAGTGCAGCAGCAATCTGGCCCAAGTGGCACTGCTGAGGAGGAGACCAAAGTGCCTGCTGCTGCTGCTGCTGCTGCTGCTGCTGCTGCTGCTGCTGCTGCAGAGAAGGGAGAGGTGCCTGCAACTTTTACTGCTGCGGATGAGGAGAAAGAAATGCCTGCTGCTTTTGCTGCAGAAGAGGGAGAGGCGCCAGCAGATGAGGAGACGACAACACTTGGCACCGTGGTTGCAGCTATGCTACCCTCGACGGTGGTGCGTATGCTGGGGTTAGAAGGTGAGGGCGAGGCAAGCAGGGGGCGAGAGGGGGAGACGGAGATGCTGGCAGAGGAGCAGGAGGAGCAAGGGGAGGAGCAGGAAGGGTGGAAGGGGCGGGAGGAGACGAAGCAGCAGCAGCAGCAGCAGGAGGAGAAGCAGCAGGAGGAGCAGCAGCAGGAGGAGAAGCAGCAGGAGCAGCAGCAGGAGGAGCAGCACCAGCACGGATGGCAGGAGGAGGAGGAGCAGGAACAGGTGGAGCAGGCATTTGGCCCAAGTGACACTGTTGAAAAGGAAGTTGAAGGAGGAGAGCGAGAGAAGCAGCATTCGACCACAGCTGCCCTTGCAGCAGCTGCGCCCCCTTCCTGGCTCTCCCCTACCAGGGGAACAGAGGGAGGAGCGGGAGCAGTGATTGAGGAGGAGGAACGGGAAGTGCAGCAGCAGCAGAAGATGCAGCCACATCAGCTGCAGGAGATGCAGGAGAAGCAGCTTCTGGAAGCTCAGAAGGATGAAAGTTTCTCGAGTCATACAGAAGAAGGGGAGGAAGGAACTGAAACATTATCTGCTGAGGGGGGTGAAGTTCCAACCAAGGGCCTGGCTGCAGGAGGGAGGAGTGCAGGTCCGACCAAGGGCCTGCATACAAGATTTCTTGAGAGCATGATGCCTGGCGTGGACTGGAGCGACGTGGCTGCAGAGGAAACGAGTGGCGCTCCCAAAGAGTCAATGCTAGGTGGGAAGGCAACAGAGCCGTCTAAAGTGGCATCCGACTGGATTCCTGGGGGGAGAGTGTCTGAAAGGCATCCCTATACCTTTGATACCCCACAAATGGGTACGTCCGAGCTGCCAGGAGAAAGTGTGTCAGGGAATTCAGCAAAGCTTGGAGGAGAGACAGGGTGGGCTGGGCTGACCCGATGCATTAGGTCCGAGGAGAGAGGAGGGGATGTGGCTCAGGAAGGGGGTGTGGTTCAACCAGTGGGAGAAGAGGGGGCTGTGCACGAATCAGGAGGTGGATTAGACGTGAATGCATCAGGGGACATGGGAGAAAATGTGACGGGATGGGGGGATGAGGAGGTGGATGAGCCAATGAGCGTGGAGGAGAGTGCACGGCTGGTGGAAGAAGCACGAGGGGAGCTGAGAGGGGCACGGGAGGACATGGCTAAAGCGTTGGAGAGGCAGATGCATATGTTGGCTGCATGAGGCTTCGACAGCACGAAGATTCGGGTAGACTAAGGTTCGGCTGGTCTAAGGCTCAACTGAATTAAGGGTCGGCTGGACGAAAGCTCGGCTAGAGGAAGAGACTCGGCTGGACCAAGGCTGTGAGGGATGGAGGAGACGAGCCTAGAGGGTAGCAGGGTGGGTTCAGTCGCTGATGGTAAGTGGGATATGTGCAAGGAATAGCAAGGGATGGGAGGGGGGGGTTTGGGGGTGGGTGAAGTAAGGAAGGTGTAGATGATTTTGCATGCTTGTCTGAAGTACCTGTAAATACGTGGCAATGCATGCCATTTCCTTTTTGAAGCACTGGTGCTGAGACACGATTGAGAGTGGAAAAATATATTAGTAGGGGAAAATGGAACAAATAACACCCTATGCCACATGAGGCAGCAGCATACAACAAGAATTCACACCATTGGAAGCAACAAGCGCCCCAGCAGCACAGCCGAGAAAGGAACCGTGAAATTGTCATCTAGCTTCTCGCTTATGGGACAGGATTCCATGAACGTCGCTCCTGCAGCTACGAGGAAGATTCTGAAGCAGATATCAGCAGACCACCACTGGGTGTGAAAGAACCCAAACGAGCAAAATATAAAGAGAAACCTGCAGTGGAGGTGGGGAGGAGGTAAGAATAAGGAGACCAAAATGAGATTCAGATAACTGTCTGCAGTACTTTCACCAATGCGCCAAGAAGCTTGCATGAAGTAACAACAGTAGAAGGTTTGCTCGAGCAGAAGCTGTTCAAACAGAAGATGCTTACGTTATTGAGAACAAGGAGCCGCACAGCAGCATGGCAACGCTCCCAGCCCAGCTCTTACGACTGTTCCAGGGAAGCTTCGCGGAACCCACTCGTCTACCAACAATGTCAGCCATTCCTGTGAAAGTAATAGGAGAAATACATCATCAAAGGTAGTCCGTGTGAGATATTTATTGGTCAAAAGCATTTCCAATAAGGAGACCGACATAGAACCAGCGCCTTGAGAACCACCCCATGAGGAGAGGACGAACGTACCGTCCCCAGCACACATGAGCACCAGCGCTATGCCTCCAACGGGGGAGCTGCGCCAGAAGATGGTTGTGACTAAAACGATGGTGAGCACATAGTACAGAGGCCCCCGAAGCAGCTCGCTGGAGGAGGACAGGAAGTACAGGCGAGACACAACAATGAAGCCACCAGAGGAAGGGAACGTAGCTGAAAACCTTGAAACCCTCCATACGGAACTTCCAAAATCAAGAGGGCTGCGTGAATGGAGCAATTGTGGCCTTTTCGCACAGCAAACGTCATGACGCGTGATTCTACAAAAAGCCTTACCACAAACTGCCTCAGTGCCTCACCTGGCGCTGCCTTCTCTGCTGATAGACTTCACCACTCCCTCGTTCGTCGTGATACCCATTCCCAACAGCAGTATCCGGATAGCGTTCGCCACTGGAACGGCAACAGCGAGGAACCTTGCTGCTGGGTTGGAGCTGAACGCAGGCAGGGACGCAGAGTACAAGGTACAAAGCAAGGTCGACGGGAGGAACATGAGAAAGAAAGGACTGGCGTGATCTCTACCTGAGCTGCAAGGCATCTAAAAAGACCATCAGGAATTAACTTGGAGATTGAAGTCACATTGAAGTTCTCTGAAAGGTCGCACCTGAAGAGAGGCCAGGAGAGCATGAAGAGCAGCCCTGTGGTGATGTGCACAATCTTGCGACTCAGTTTCTGCAGCAGAAACAGCAACAAAGAGAACAAAGGTCCATGAATTGTGGATGAACCACCATGGAAGGAGAAACAGGAAGCATTTGAAGTAGCAGAAACTTGGTTCTTTACAACAGTTCAGCAAAACAAGAAAGCAACTTCTCCTCACCTGATCCAGGACATCCCGTCTGGCCAGCTCATCAAACACGCGGACCCAAACCACCGAGCCTAGGAGGGTGAAAAGCGTTGCAGCTACGTCTTGCTGCCATGAACCCGCTAACGGCAGCAAGCCAGAAGCTAGAGCGACAATTCCAGCGTTCCCGGATGAAAAGCTAGTTCCAACATCGGTCAGTACAGGGTGAAAAGTCGACGGCTGCAGGTAGAAGAACGACGTTGGTGCCTGAAGCGACTCAAGTGCGGATCTCCCAAGACCTGTAACGAGTTTTGGAGCAGCAGATATCGCAGATTCGGCTGCTGCTGTTGCGGCTGGGACTTCGAAGGAGGCTGTAACACAGCTTCGTTTCAAAGACAGAAGTTTCTGTTGTGTTTTGTAAGCGCATGGAAGACAGCGTGACCGAGGCCATGCTAGACTGTAAGAGGAATGGCCTGCTGACGAGATCCTGGATTGGAAGCTAATAATGTCTGTCAGCTGACAGTGCGGAACAGAAATCGTCATGATAAGTTCCCGCAATAGTCTCTGATGGAAACAGACTACTATCTTCAGTTCAGACGAGAAATTTGTTCTTGTTAATAGGTTTGCTCTCGGGCGAAGGCCAATTTGGCAAAAATCTTCAGCTGGATCATTTCGGAAAGAGACGACTGAAGAATGCACTAAGTCCTGGGGACTTCCCTAGCAAACAACACTCGTGGGAGCCCATGACACAACTCCTAGGTACTGTAACCGAGATTCTCGGTGGATGGAACCAGGATTCTGCTTTACCCATCAATGGATCAGAGAGCTGATCAGAGTGTCGCACAAGACTCATCGCTCTGACGTGGATGTACTCAGCCTCGCATTCTGATTCGTCAACGAGGGGGCAGACAATCTCGCAAGTGGATAAAAGTCGCGAAAAGGCTGCCACTCGGATCGCGGAGGGGTGCGACGCGGTTATGATCGAAGCGGCAATCCCAGTATGCCCGGCGCTTGGCCCATGGGCCAGCTCGTCTGTCAGATCCCTGCTACTCGAGCACAAACCATCAGTGGAAGCTCCCAAGCCAAAATCAAGGGTTGCTTTGCCATTGCGGCCAGGCACAGGGCGGACGAATTCACAAGCATGAAATATGAATACTTTTATAGAATATACTTTCCACCACCCTTTTACAGATCCTCCTACGACCAGCTTTTTTGGCAAGCTACTAACGTGTAGTTTCTGAAGCGATTTGTAAGTGCATGAATATGTATGTCATAGACCAGTTTTACATCAGTGCTAACATCCTATAACATGCCTTCTTATAAACTTCGTCATAACCCCCACATTTTCACAAACATTTACGACAGCTTCACATCAACCTCCACACCATACGGCAGCTCCAGCTGCATCAGAGCATCAATGGTGGTCGCAGTGGGGTTCTCCAGATCAATCAACCTCTTGTGCGTGCGAATCTCAAAGTGCTCCCGCGAGTCCTTGTCCACGTGAGGGCTGCGCAGAACACAGTACTTGCGGATGTGCGTTGGCAGACGCACCGGGCCCATGATGCCTGCTCCCGTCTCCTTCGCCACTTCGAGAATCTGCTCGGAAGCCGCCTCCAGTTGAGGCACCTGGTACGACTTGAGCTTGATGCGGATTCGCTGCTTCTGGACAGCCTGTATGAGGGAAGGTTATTGGGAGCGGGAGAAGTGGGAATGGGAAGGAGGACGGGACTGAGAGGTGGATGAGAAGCTGCCTACCATGTTGTAGGCGTTTCTGAAGATTCAAATAACGCCTACAGGGTACCATGAAACACGACGCAATGGGAGAGAATTGAAGCTAATGAGGCTATCAGAAGATGCAGAAGTGTGCATAGGGAGCACACGTGCACGCTTTGGTAGGTCATGGCTGGATGGACAGCCCAAGGCGGAGCTGCTTCACGTGCACTCTACGCGACCTTAACACCAACACATAGCGCTTGAAGGTTGACTCCTTCACCATCTACAAACTCGTCAGGCCACCTCCATATGCCCCCTCCGCCCGCCTCCTCCGTCTGCCTACCTCCGTCTGCCCCCCTACGCCTGCCTCCTCCGTCTGCCCCCCCCCTCCGTCTGCCCCCTCCGTCTGCCCCCCTTCGTCTGTCTCCCTCCGTCTGTCCTCTTCCGTCTTTTTTCCCTGAGTCCCCCTCCGTCTGCCCCACCTCCTTCTCGTTCCCATCCGTCTGTCTCGCTTCGTTTGTCCCCCTCCGTCTGTCCACCTCCGTCTTGTTCCATCCGTCTGTCCCCCTTCGCCTATCCCCATCCGTCTGCCCCCCTCCGTCTGTCATCCACTTGCCTCTGTACCCCCTTGTCTGTCGGAACTACAACTGTAACTCTCTCTGGCACGAGAGCACGAGAGGCCTCCACACAATCTGACAAAATTCCCATCAACAGACCTCACCGTGATTAATCCTCGCCGCTTCCCGTTCCCTGGTCATGTGGAAACGCAACCACTGCAGCCAGGCAAGCCCTCATGACACGAGCTCAACCACTGCCGCGCGCTACGATTCCCTTCCCTATGGTCCGAACGAGTCCCGTCTCACGGTCCCGTGTCCCGTGCACAACGAATCCTGTCACACGATCTTATTTCAGCCGAAACCCGTCACACGAATCCCACGATGCCCAGCACACAACGAATCCCGTCCTGTGACGCTAAATGCTGCCACAACCACCCGCTTCTCCGACCTGTCAAGCCCCCTCAAGCCACCTGCCCCCTTCTCGCCTTCGCTAAACACCTTTCTAGGCTGAGACACATCAATACGTGACTAGGATCCTAATAATATTTATTAAAACCGAGAAACTTAAGCTCTTGATGCAAGTGGATCTACACTGCTTCGACAGGAGAGCATTTTCCTGGACGCACCGGGGCTGCGACAGCAGCGGCGGCTGATTGTGTGGCGGCGGAGGCGGCGACCACGCGGCGGTGCAGGCGCGCGGAGGGGGAGGCGGAAGCCGCCGCCAGCAGCGACCGCTTGGCGAAACCGCCGGTGGCTAGCTGGCACGGCGACGAACCCTCTCCCGAGAGAAAGCTGGATTTCAACGCTCCCTGTTCGAACGGAGGTAAGGATTAGGGTTAGGCTGGAACAAAAAAAGGCTTACCATCGGAAGGGGGAACTTTTCTGAACATGTGTGTCGGCGGCTAGTTTTAAGTCGGGAACTTATTATAGAATGTACATTACTAACAGCGCAGCAGGAATGCGAGCTGACAAGTAAAACGAACATCTGTTCTTTCACTGTTCGAAGAATGACGTCTTACGAGAAATCTTTTAAGAATCTTGCCTGTGTGGGCGTTGAAACTGCTCGAACTGACAGTGCAGTGACGGCAGCCATGGCGGCACGATGCGACGGCAGACTCAAGACGTAACTGGGCTTAGGAGTGCCGTACACACGAACTTCCCCGTAAGCTAAAATAAGAGAGGGTTTAGGAGAAACCTAGCGTCTCAGCCAAAGCTGTGAGTCCATTGTCAATCCAAACGCCCAGAAATTGTTTGAAGTTCAGGTGGTTACCGAACGAAACCGTTTGGTAACGTTTTGAAACACAACATACCGTGGAAAACTCTCAACTTCCAAGTTTGCCACCTCCCGCCTTCGGTTGCAAGGGGTAGTTGATCGTAGTATCGGGGACGGTCACGGGGAGAGCGGCGCAAACGGAGGGTAAGGGCGCAAGAGGGGATGGGGGAAAGGTGGTAGTGTGTGCACCCCAAGGGTACGGGCGCGCGGAAGGCTGGCGCGCGTTCTGGATGAGGAAGTGGCTTTGTGTGAGGATATTGGGCCACGTACGCCCTAATTGATGTGCCAGGTGGCTACACACTGTTTGCTCCTCGATATGAGCACATTCGTAAAAGTGACACTTCGATCTCTGGTTTGGCGCACCCGCGTGCCTCTGGTTCCTTGAGGCACACGCCTCAGGTAACCCGTATCCTTGTAACGTGCGCCTACTTCGAGCTGCCTAGGGTCACCGACGCGGAGCCAAACCAACTTCGTCTGGCTTGGCAGCCCCCCCAGACCTCACATTAGTGGTTCGTGACCAATTGACGTTTTCCACGATCTGGTAACGCCAGCAATATGGGCGCTGGATGACGTGGAATGGGATGATGGAATATCCGCGGGGCGCTGACCGTCCTTTCTTGATTTGTCCAAAGCTTGCTTTGGTTTTGAAGCGGCTCGTGTCGCATCAGTTCAAGTGTACACCTCAGCTGGGGAGGCGCCATGGCTGCCTCTCTTTTCTCCCCCACATCGATTCGCCCGTCGCTGTAACGCACCCGACCCCAGACGGCCCAAACAGCGCAAGCCACTCTGCCCATAAGGCGGCGGATAATTTTGAACAGCCCATAGTGTACGCTACACGTATCGCTTCGATCAATTCCAATAACCTGAAGAGAAGAACGAAAAATATTCGTTCACCTCGGGCTGCTCTGAGAATGTGGGGAAAACCAGGAAACCGAACGGCGCAGATGTGCTTCGTTCCGTGCAGCGTTGTCCTCGGTCACTAACTCTTGGTTCAACTATTCTCGAACCGTCACGAATACCTGCTGTTCTGGCAGCCGCCATTCTTCGTGTGCTTCTTCTTCGTCGTTCGTTGGTGCCCCTTCCCCCAAACCACGTCGCCCTCCCTCCCAGGCCTGGCCCTCACATCAGGTCACGACTCCCAAACCTACCTGTTCATAGGACGATAGGCGCTTTGGCATGACGTTTTTTTCCTAGACACCACGCCCTTGCACGTTCATTTTTGAACTTATAGAGAAACTGCAACGTGCCGTCACCGTCCGCAAGCGTGATTACCTCATTCGTAAATTGTTATAAGCACACCCTGATAGGAGCGTCACGATCTTGGCTGCTGGATGTCACGATCTTGGCTGCTGGATGTCACGACCAGCCGCTACCCCGCACCATATCAATGTATTTTAGTAGAACGAGACACACTCTAATCCAGACAGGTACAGGACTTTCTCTGAGCACTCCGCAAAAAGCTTGGTACTTGGTCGCGGCGAGTTCATCCAACTTCGCCTTGTGTCAGCTGCTCTGGCACTGCGTACAGTAAAGCGCAGACCTAAATCTGTGCGCAGACTACATCAGTCGCGGACCATTACGTAGGAAGCCCGTTGCGTTGCGCGGCGCCACACAGCCAGCTCGTATTGAGCGCACGGCTCTCTTTTGAAGAAAAACAGGATTTTTTTTTTTTTTTTCAAGAAAGGGTATTTCGTCAACAGAGATGGGCGGAGCCATGGACGCCGCGACTTCGGGGGTCTGGGACCTCACAGTCGCCAGCTTACCTCAACTGCTCCGCCAGCTATCGCCATCCCCGCTAACAGCGCTGAACGGCAGCAGCGGCTTGGGAAATGATAGTAACTTTTTACTGAAGGGACGGCTTCAGCACAACATGCATACGGGAGTTGATATCCTATCGGGTGGTGATCCTTTTTTCGATGGGGCCTTCCTGCGCGAAATCTTCCTTGGAATTGATTTTTTCTCCGATGGCTGGCGTGGCCTGCGCGACACGCTGCACTACCCCGGTCTGCCGCGCGACGTGTGTGCGACTGTGCTGACGACGGGGCTCGTCGTTGCATGGTTGAGGCTCTTCGACCTGCTCGCGCGACGAAACTTGGTCGAGCGGGTGAGATTCCTCACGCTCCTTTACCTGCCCCACTTTTTTTTTGTCCGCGTCACAAATCTTTGCCCATTGAAGCGGCTTTGGCTTGTTACTACCTTTTTTCCATCGCCTTATGTCACCCAAAGAAGCCGAGTCGCAAGGTCCTCCACATCGCCATGTGCCTTTTCGTCGACGACTTTAGCAACACATCCGTCGTTGAGCAACATCTTGCGACGGTCGTTCGCGCGCTTGAGTAACATGCGCCACGTCGTGGGCGCGGATGATCCCCGTGCGACGTCTCGTGACTCGCACCCGCGCGACGTCGCGCAACTCACACCGGCGCGACGTCTCGCGACTCTCACCCGCGCGACGTCTCGCGACTCGCACCCGCGCGACGTCGCGACACTCACACCCCGTGCGATGACGCGCAACTCACCCATGCAACGTCTCGCGACACACACCCGCGCGACGTCGCGACACTCACACCCCGTGCGACGCCTCGCGACTCACATCCCGTGCGATGTCGCGCGACGCAACTTCTGCCCTACCACCGTCCCCCATCCCCCGTCGCAGTCGCCGAGTCGAGAAAAACTTCACATCACCATCGGGACTTGTTCCTCAACTCAAAACTCACCTCTTGCCCTCCGCCCTGATAATAAAAGCCTCTCACCTCAACACTTTGTGCAACGTCTCGCGACTGAAGAAAGCTTTGTAAAAGCCTGTACTTCGTCGTCTTGTGCCCATCCCCTCTCACCCCGTCGTCTCGCGCAGAAGCTGAGTCGCAAGGTCCTCCACATCACTATCGGTCGCTTTTTCGTCTTCGCTTAACTCACCTCTTGTGCCCATCCCTCGTTCCCCAATCCCCATCACCTCGCGCAGAAGCTGAGTCGCAAGGTCCTTCACATCACTATCGGTCTCTTTTTCGTCTTCGTCTGTTGGCCGCTCTTCAGGTACGACCACTCCTCAGGCACGACCGCTCTTCAGGTACAACCGCCCGCTCTTCAGGTGCGACCTCCCCTCAGGTACGACCGCTCTTCAGGTGCGATCTCCCCTCAGGTACGACCGCTCTTCAGGTACGACCGCCCCTGCTCTTCTTTTTGCCGGTTCTCATGTTCGCGCATCTCTCAGGTTTTCCGCTTCTCAACCCCTCTTATTCGCCTGCCCTCTTCCTCCTTCCCCCTTCCCCCTTCCCCCTTCCCCTTCCGCCAGCGCGTATCCGCAGGCGCGGTTTTTTGCGGCGGCGGCCCCCGTGACGACGGCGGTGCAGCTCTTGCTGCTGGGGCTGGGCGTCACGCGCAGCGACGGGATCGTAAAGTCCATGAGCCGCAGCGGCAGCAAGAGGTGAGGGAAGGGGAAACAAGCGGGAAGGGAACGCGCGGGAAGAACGCGGTGGGGCCGGGGTTCACGCGCAACGATAGGATCGGAAAGTCCATGAGCCGCAGCGGCAGCAAGAGGTGAGGGAAGGGGAAACAAGCGGGAAGGGAACGCGCGGGAAGAACGCGGTGGGGCCGGGGTTCACGCGCAACGATAGGATCGGAAAATCCATGAGCCGCAGTGGCAGTAAGAGGTGCGGAAATGGACTGGTTTCGGATGCGCCTCGAGAAGATCCTGAAAAGCAAAGGAGAAAGGGCCACGGCGGCAGCAAGCGGAAGCGAAAGGGCCGGGCGCAAGTGGGGAGGTGGGGGAAAGGGCCGGGCGCAAGTGGGGAGGTGGGGGAAAGGGCCGGGCGCAAGTGGGGAGGTGGGGGAAAGGGCCGGGCGCAAGTGGGGAGGTGGGGGAAAGGGCCGGGCGAGGTGGAGAAAAGTTCGGGCGGAGTGGGGGAAACGGGTCGGGCGCAAGGAAGAAGGGCGCGTGAGTGAGGACTTCCCCATGCGCCTGTCCTTTTCGACAGACTGGCTGCGCTATGTGTTTGCTATGTAAATTGGTAGTGAACAGTGCAAAGAAGGAAATAATTAGCATGTGCGATTGCAAATTGGTCATACCCATGTTATGTCATGAGCTTAATGTATTCTCCCTTGTCTATCCCTTGTTGTCGATGTGATGTATGCAGTGAATTGTTAAGTGGGCCTTTGTGTTACGCGGTTACCATAATGCTCATGACTGTGGTGTACTGGAGAACGTCTCCTGTGGGAATGCTTGCTCTTGTCATCATGTGTGGTGGAGATGGTGAGTCAGCATGGGCGTGAGTCAGCAGAGCATGTGCATGAACCGGGATGGGTGTGAATCAGCGTGGGCGTGAATCAGTATGAGCTCGAGTCATCTGTGACGCATCTCTGACACAACTCTGACGCATCTGTAAAGCATCTCTGATGCATTGCTTCCATACCTAACGCTTCAACTGTCTGCACCTCCCAAGCCTAATCCGAGGCATTGCTCTAACTCTCCTCCCTTCAGGTGTGGCGGACATTGTGGGGCGGCGGTGTGGTTCCTGGAAGCTTCCATGGAATGAGCAGAAAAGCTGGGCTGGCAGTGCTGCCATGCTGCTGTGCGGATTTGCTCTCTCATTAATGTGAGTGTTTTGAACATTGCTCCAATCATTAGTGCAGGTGTCTCCAAGTCCTGCTCACTGCAGTCTTAATTCCTCTCTGTATGGTATCGATGCATCCTGATTGCATTATTTTTCCTTCTGCCTTCGTCCACAGCTGGTCCTCACTTTTCCCCCATTATCTCCCTTCCGAACCCCACTTGCCGTCTCTTTTCCCAATTCCAACCCCACCCAACAGCTATTTATGGTTCTTCTGTTTCCTAGGCTTCTTCTCCTGCCCTATTCCCTCCCACCCTCTCCTCCGGGTCTTCCTAATAAACTTGGGAGCTACAGTAGTTGAATCGTTGCCTGTTAACTGGTACATCGATGACAACATATCTGTTCCTGTCACGGCTGTGCTTTTAAGCAAGCTGCTACTAACGAATGCATAGCCAATGTGCCTGAAACAGGTGATTGGGCGCTTGATTTATTAGTCAGTCATCCAGTAGATACAGTAGGTGATATGTGGTTGTGATTTTTTGTGGTGCCACTAATAAAGACAGCATTGCATGTCTAAAGAAAGAGATTGATTGCTGAATTTGATTATTTTACTTTCATTCTGAATGAAGGTGTTGCTTTTAATCACTTCACATGTACGGTATGCTGAAAGATGTCTGATGATTGAGCAATAAGAAAAATGTTGGGAGAGATAAGGGGTAGATAGATACCAGAATTGTGTTCAAAAAATTGAGCACCCCAAGGTGAAAGTATACCAGCTGTTTTGTACAAAATGCAACCGGTACCTGGAACGGTAGTGTACTGTAAACGCTATAGACGCCCTAAGGAGCAGTCTTGGTGGATGCCTTGTAAATGCGGAAGGCAGCAAAGCAGACGGTGCAGTTTCCAAGGAGGGTCATGAAGGACTGCAGCACGACGAGACCCTGAGAGGAGGGCAGGTAGAGGAGGGAGAGGTGTTTCAAGACTCAAGACCCCCCCCCAGAAGTGCTTTTGCTCCACTTGAAGCAGACGGTGCAGTGGGGGAAGAAGAGGAGGGAGAGGAGGGAGAGGAGGGAGAGGAGGGAGAGGAGGGAGAGGAGGGAGAGGAGGGAGGGGAGGGAGAGGAGGGAGAGGTGTTTCAAGACTCAAGACCCTCCCCAGAAGTGCTTTTGCTCCACTTGAAGCAGACGGTGCAGTGGGGGAAGAAGAGGAGGGAGAGGAGGGAGAGGAGGGAGAGGAGGGAGAGGAGGGAGAGGAGGGAGAGGAGGGAGAGGAGGGAGGGGAGGGAGGGGAGGGAGAGGAGGGAGAGGAGGGAGAGGAGGGAGGGGAGGGAGAGGAGCAGCGGCACCATGGATGGAGGCATAAGCCATCAGGCATGCATGCATGGGCGTCACACATGGGGCACCATGTGCACATGGGGCCCATAAGGACAGGCACCATGGGGCACCACGGGGGCACCATGGGGCACCATGGCCCATGCCAACCATACGGCGACACACAACTGTCGTCCTGGGTGTAGACATCTGGCTTGTCACATATCTCTAGCTGTGGCGAGTTATAAAAGAAGTGCCACGTGCACGCACACATATCGCCCATGAGAAGCGGCACCATGGCCCATGAGAAGCGGCACCATGGCCCATGAGAAGCGGCACCATGGCCCATGAGAAGCGGCACCATGGCCCATGAGAAGCGGCACCATGGCCCATGAGAAGCGGCACCATGGCCCATGAGAAGCGGCACCATGGCCCATGAGAAGCGGCACCATGGCCCATGAGAAGCGGCACCATGGCCCATGAGAAGCGGCACCATGGCCCATGAGAAGCGGCACCATGGCCCATGAGAAGCGGCACCATGGCCCATGTAAATGCGCTAGAGTGATTGGTCAGACCCAGTTACTCGATTACCTCTAACTGCGGCGAGTTAAAGAAAAAGTGCCACGAGCATGCACACATGGCCCCCATAAGAAGAGGCACCATGGCCCATGCGAGGCCCCTCCACGGCATCACAAAACAGAACCCTACATGGAACCAGCTGTAGCCCTGGATTACCTCTAGCTGAGGAGAATTGTAAAAGAAGTGCCATGTGCACGCGCACATGGCCCCCATGAGCAGCGGCACCATGGCCCATGGCACATACACGGTTGTGCTGGTCCGTGCATGTAGTGTAGATAGCATGCTGCATATCTCTAGCTGCGGCGAGTTGTAAAAGAAGTGCCACGTGCACGCGCACATGGCGCCCATGAGAAGAGGCACCATGGCCCATGCGAGGCCCCCCCACGGCGACACACAGCTGCCTGGGTGCATGCATCTGCTTGCCTCGTACCTCTAGCTGCGGTGAGTTGTAAAAGAAGTGCCACGTGCATGCGCACATGGCCCCCATGAGCAGAGGCACCATGGCCCACGCCAGCCCCCTCCACGCCCTCCTGCTCTCCGCTGCCCCGTACTGCCACACCAGTGCCATCGCCACCACCCTGGGAGGGAGAGGGGAGTGGAGTTGAAGTGACAGGCGGGGAGTAAGAGATAGGGGGATGCCTGACGCATCAACTCCCTTCCCTCCACGCCCTCCTGCTCTCCGCTGCCCCGTACTGCCACACCAGTGCCATGGCCACCACCCTGGGAGGTAAGGAGGAGAGCACGAATGGGACAATGGGATGCCAGAAGCATGAGATGAGATCACAGGGATGGTTGCGCAATCAGCCCCCTCCACGCCCTCCTGCTCTCCGCTGCGCCGTATTGCCACACCAGCGCCATCGCCACCACCCTGGGAGGAAAGTGGAGGGGGAGCAGGAGGTGTTAACGACACCCTGAATGATGCGTCCTTATTACGTCCTTCTTACGTCCTTATCACACCCTATGTTACATCTGCCTGTGTTGATCTCCTGACACCCACCAGCCCAAGCCACAATTGTTCCGAGTCGCGCTCACCATTCCACAACGCTTGCCACGTGGATGATCCACGTGGGCAGCGACAGCGCGTTGGAGGGCTCGTCGGCCAATGAGAGCGCGCCAAGGAGGAACAGCTGACTCAAACTCGCCAATGCGCCATCGCCAGCTGTACCAACCGCGGCGCCTGCTGCTGCTGCTGCTTCTGCTACCGAGCTGACGTCAGCACCGGTAACCGCAGCAACGGCTGACGGGGCGATAAGAGCACTCAAGGTTGTGACTGTAGCGAGGGTGGGAATAACGAGCAGGGATGTGGCATTATCGGAATGTAGCGAATCATTGATCTGGGGAGGAGAGGTGGAGGGAGAACAAGAGAAGCTTCGTGCCGGATTCCTTGATTCTGCGACCGCGGAGACGGGAGGTACTATGGTGGACCTTCGTGTAGCGGTACTATGCGGCAACGGTCCTAATCTCGTCTCATGAGACCCTTTCGAGCGAAACAGCCGCGCGAACGAAGCGCGAGGTGCAATGGATGGCGGTTGTTGCGTGGCGGGGCTGAGCGGCGGCAGTGACGCCCTCGTGCTGCTAGCAATGGCCGCCATCACGAATCGCGATACAATCAACGACGACACGAACAGTCTGGTGAATCTACGTTTAGCAATATTTACTAATATTTTGTATTTCCGTTCTTCCCACGGATCTGTGGCGCAATGGTAGCGCGTCTGACTCCAGATCAGAAGGTTGCGTGTTCGATTCACGTCAGGTTCACTTCCTGATTTTTGAGTTTTTGTGCCAGAAGAACCCTCCCTCCACATCTGTGCTTGCTTGGTTGAAAGCCTTACCGTCTGCTGCATTCACATTGCAATGTCAGCACATGGTGCTGCTAGGACGTGTGAATGTGAAAGCAGCGTATAGTGGTGGTCCACCATTAACACACTCCTCTCGTCGTTGTTAACATTCTGTCTGTATCCACTCTACAGGTCACTTCGTTATTCGTCCCCCGTCAGTCTGAAGTTCCCCTCGGTTCTCACTTCGCGCTATTTCCCGCCTTCTCGAGTCCCTCAAGCTTCCACTTTCCTGCCAATGGCTAGCGGTTCCCGAAAGAGGCGGTTAGCATTAACTACCCACGCGGATAGCGGCCTTCTGTCTGAAGCGCCTTCTGACGGAGCGCTATCTGGAATTCCTCCCGCGACCGCGACTGGGAGCACTGCTGCGCCATTTGAAAGCACCCCCGCCATTGGAATTGGTGGGGGCACTGTTGCGCTATCTGGACGCCCTCCCGCGACCGCGATTCGGAGCACCGCTGCGCCGTTTGAAAGTATCCCCGCTACCGCGACTGGGAGAACCTCCGCCATTGCGATTGGCAGCACTCGCGCGACCGCGATAGACTTAGTTACTCCCGCAATTACTGGAGGTAGCTCTCCCCAAACCGCGATAGTCTTGGCGGAAACGGGAGCAGTAGGAGGTCGTTGGGGAACGACCGCGACCGGCTGGGGGAGGCCGCGCGGAGCCGTTGGCGCAACGGCGGAAACCGCGATATACTTGGGGGAATCTGTAATAGACCCGGCGGAAACTTTGATAGGCTTTGCGGAGACCGGCGCAAGTCACGGCCGGAAACGCCAAGCGCGCCAAGCGGCGGAAACGGCTCTCGCAATCTCAGCCGTTAATTCGACTCCCTCACCTTCGCGAGCCGTTAGAGCCTCGCGCGGTTCGCGAGGCCGAGCCGCGAAGCCAGTAGTGGAGAAGCGCCTAACGCGTTTCCTTCCGCACCCGTCGCGTGCGGTTCTAGACCGAATAGAACGCGCCTACGTGCATCGTCTGTACTTAATCGGCTTTGACTGGCCGCGCGCGCCCCGCGGAACTGGCGAGGCCGCTAGCAGGGGGAATGTTGCGCCTGGCTCGGGTGGCGCGGGTGGTGCAGGAGATACAGGTCTCGCTCTAGCTCTTCCGCCTCCGCGCACCCCTCCTCCCCACAACCTTCCGCCTCCGCAATCCTCTCTCTCCCCATCCTCCCCCCTTGGCACACCCCCAAGTGCTCTCGCGCTTTCCACTCCCCCCACCCCCACTCTCGCCAGTTCCCCCACTCGCGCTCTTTCCGCCCCCCACACCCCCGCCTCCACCCCTCCTCCCTCCGCCTCCCCGCTCCGCCCGTGCTCCTGTAACTTCCACGTGCTGGGCGCAACCGGTAACGTCTACACGGTTACCATTTCGCAGCAGCCGTCGTGCACGTGCCCAGACTACGGCAATGGCAACCTGTGCAAGCACGTGCTCTTTGTGCTGCTGCGCGTGCTGCATGTGGACGAGGAGGATCCGCGCGTGTGGCAGCGCTCGTTGCTCTCTACCGAGCTAAACGAGCTTCTGGATAGGATAGACGCGCTGGAGAGGAGAACACTCGCTGTTGCTGAGGAGGGTGAGGAGATTCTAGCGAGTCCGGCTGTAAGGGAGCAGTTTGCACGCATTGCAGGGGGGCAGCCTGGTTCTGGTGCTCTGGGCTTGACTGATTTGAATTCCAGGAATGAAGGTGGCAGTCAGGCTGCAGTTGGGGGGACAGGCCAGAGGCCAAAGCAGCGGCCGATCGAAGGGGACTGTCCCATCTGTTACGAGCCTCTGGGAGGGGCAGGCGCAGGGAAGCGTGGTGGTGGGAAGCCAGCAGAGGCGGTGGTGTTTTGTCAGCGCTGCGGTAACAACGTCCACTCGGACTGCTTCTCTCGTTGGAAGGCTGCCAAGAGGGGCGGCATGGTGACGTGCGTTTGGTGCAGGGCTCCGTGGGGGGATGGGAGCACGGCGCACAGGGCTAGGGCACACCATGACAGGGATTCTGATAGTGATGATTATGAGGACGAGGAGGGGCCTCAAGAGTATGTCAATCTGTCGCAGTATTCTGAGGCTCACAGGAGTGCGGATGCCAGCTTGGAATCTCTGTATCCAGATACACACATGTTCTTTGGTGGAGGAAGGAGGAGGCTGAGGCGGCCGTGGTGGTAGTGAGGGCTTCGTGTTGTTTTGGGTGAGCTGAGCTATAAGTGCGAGGATAGAATGAATCTTGTGTGCTATTGTGTAGATTGATGGGCGTTGGTGGAGATAGCAAGCTGGGCAAGTTATGTTGCCTGCACTACACTTAAAATGGTTCAGAAACTTACGGTACCTATGTCAGCCTGTATCCTTTGCCGAGAGGACAAAGGAGGTTAGTCGGCTACTACTGCTAGAGAAGTCTAGCATAACTAGACCCTCACACTAGCACCTTTACTTATAAATACCCCATAGCTAGCTACGTACTTGGAGTGACCTATAGATGTGCTACTGGATCCCAATGCCAGCGTATGCGTATTAGTTCTGGGAAATGGTGAACAGCGGTCCGCGAGGGCCCCGAGGGTTCCCCGACTTCTGCATCGCAGCCTTAAGTTTACCAGGAGAAGGAACGCCTCGCTTGGGTGAGGGGGCTGCTTTCAGAGGAAGAGGCACTAGCACAGGCCCGTTGGCCTGATTGGGTCGATGACACATCTTCAAAATGTCCTCCTCTGTTGGAATCTCAAACCGCCGCTTCTGTGGAGTTCTTGACGTATGTGCATCCGGCTGCATTAAGGAAGCACACTCACGTCAACATAATACACCACAGAAGCCCATGCTGACAAAGAATGAAGGGTTTGACTATACTTGCCTTCAGATCCTCCTCCAGATGTCTCTTCATGCTTCCCTTGACGTCCTCAACTTGCTGCTTGTGGTGGTCCAGTGCCAGTGGCACAGAATGAGATGACTTAACAAGCGAGGATGCGATACTTGTGAGCTTCTCCTGCTGTGCACCATAACTTCCTGCAAGGGGGAAAACGAATAGAGAAACAAGTGATTATTATATGCAAGGTGGTGTTGACAGGAACGTGGAACTTCAGAAATTCATGGTTTACCTGAAATCTTAGTGACGAGCTTGTCAGCTCCTGCATTGCACGTTGCCTCAACCTGCTCTTGGTCAGTTGTTGTACTGATGCCAAGGCTGGTTGACTCTAGATTGTGCTCCCTGCCAAAATACACCAAGTTAATTTTACTCTCAGAGGAAAACGGGACTCGGACTTCAAAACTGTTGCGGATTGAACTTCTCTCTCAGTAGGCTTACCCGATGCTCTTTTTCATATGGTCGCAATAAGATTTGGACCGTGATGCAAGCAGTGATAGCTGTTCACTGCTATCTACATCCATCCTTTCCACGCAACCCGCACTGCATTAGGGAACACAGAGGAAGTTGAGGATGAGGAAATTGTGTGCGCGTCTGTGCATGTGCAACTCAATGCATTCACAATGGCTCCAGGAAACTAAAGCACAGAGGAGCACAGGGAAAAGGTGGAAAGCGTACAGAGGGGCGAACAACAGGAACAGAGGAACAGATGGAGGGTGTAAGAGGCTGAGGAAGATGCCTACCACGAAGCCACCTTCTCGCCAGCTTCAGACTTCTTGCGTGCAACTTCATTGGAGGCCTCCGTGTCAGCCATGGCTTCCTTTTCTCGAAGATCAGCAATGCCGCTTGAAATGTTAGAGAAAACACCCTTCACAGCACGCCTTTTATCATCATTTGCGGAGCGTAAATTCTTCACACTGGCTCCCATGCGAGCAATCCGTCCCTTGACCTAAAAATGCCAAGCAAACATGCATTAGGGATCATTGGTTCAAGAAACGACAGGCTGAATCACGTTATTTGCTCACACACCTCGTCCTTGGTGTCGTTCATCCCTTGCTGTACAATTTCGGTCACTGCCTCCATAATCCTCTTGGCCTTCTGCATTTCAATGTCCTGCAATCACAGAAATGTAAGCCATTGAGATACATCTTTCACCTTCAAACACGGATGCAAAGCCAACTTGCGACTTACCATCACCGCCTTCTCTAGGCTGCTCATATCCTCTTCATGACTCTCCGTGTGATGAGCTATCATCTCAGCCCAAGCAGTTGTCTCTTCATACAATCGTTCAATCAAGGCTTCCATGGACGACAGGGCAGAGGATGACTCTGCTCTGCGCTTCTCCAAATACTGCAATATCCAAGTGACAATGGATCAGGAGAACGAAAGTTGGATGCTTACAACCCTAGAAAGTCTACCATGCCCACCTGATTCCACCACCCTTGCACGTTGTCCCAGCCAGCTGAGAGACCGGTCAGCAAACTTTGGATTTGCTGAACTGATGCTTTAGATGAGGCAGAAGCTTCTTCAAGTAGCTGCAGGCAAACGATAACCTTGCGTGAGCAAAATCTGCACAATATCTGGGACGATAACAGTGGGAATAACATTGTTGTTCTTACGAACCTTCTCCATCTCGTCCTGTTGTGGACCGAGACCGTCCACCAAGGACTGGAGGGAACTGTTGTTCTTATCCACAAACTGCTGCACGCGCTCCTTCATGAATCGTGTAGCACCAAACACCTTCTGCTGCAACTGAGATACCTCCTCCGTCACTTGGTCCAAATCCTGCATCAAGTGGAACATACAGTTAATCAATCATTGCTCAAAAGGCAAAAATGCTCAATATAAAGAAGATGAGGAGCCACTGTCTGAAGAATACCTTAGTTGACTGGCTGAGGACGTCTTCAAGGCCCTGTGATGCTTGTTGCTCTTGGAAAGCAAGAATCTCCATCTGCTTTACTACAAAGGCCCGAACACTATCGACTTGACTGTCCATTTGCTGCTTCAGACTGGTAGCTGCAGCCTGGTTGTGGACTGAAGTTTCCTGCATTCTCTCTGATTAAAGAGCAAATGTCAGTACAAGTCTTTCTAACCAACACGGACTCTGGATAGAAATGACGCAAGTTCCAAGGACCAAGCTCACCAATCTTTTCAAACAGTTGAGTATTATCGTGATTGACGTTGATGAGCATTTGTCGAAGGCCATTGCAGGTGATAACCAGCTGTGTCTCTGCCATCAAGTACAGGGCGGCAAGGAGAATCACATAGCAATGAGAAAGATGCTGAACAAATTCAGTTGCATTGACCCAGGAGAGTGGAGGCTGAGAAACTCCAGTACAGAAATACAACCAAAAACATAAAAATTACCAGCTTGAGTCATGCTTTCAATAGTTGATACTGCTTCTCGAAGATCAGCTTCAGTCTTCTCCAAGCTTTGGGAAAGCGAGACAACTTGTCCCTGAAAAACACAACATTTGTTGGATAGGTAATGATAGGTAATACTCTGTACAATTTTATTCAACAAGGAACCATATGACTTCACTCAGTTGTTTCAGTTACCTGAAGACCATCCCTCTCCTTGGTCAAATCATCCACTCGGCCCGAAAATACCTCCAGTTGCTCACTGAGTTGCTTAATCTCCTGCACATGGCAACACTTATTTTCAGGTGCCACTATGAGACCAAAAAGATTTGCATTGAATGTACACAACATTACTTACCTCCGCCTTCTGCTCGAGCTCGTCACTGTTTTGGCCAGTGAGGTCCTTGAGGGACTGCACCTGCTTCAGCAGGTTCTCGTGCTGCTGAACTGTCAGATGAACGCCTTCCTTCTCGCGCTGAGCCTTCAACTCTGAAACATAGATCCGCCAGTCGAGTTAGAGCAGGAATTTTAGTAGAAGATAACAACAGACATGCCAGTAGTTGTTACATACCTTGTTTCAACCTCTCAACTTCTCCTGCCATGTCCTTCAGTAGCTTAGACTTCGTCGTCCTCTGGTTAACCTGGAAAGTTTGTCAAATGTTAGATTTTATGTCGTTTCCAGATCACCAGATGTGGATAGTTTGCCATGCTCACCTCGGGCTTGTTCTTGATATTCTTAGCACGCTGAGCATACTCTAGCGTGTTCAAGGTCTCTTCCAAACAAGGAGCGACAGGAGAGACTGTTGCAATAATGCAAGTCTTTGTCCGGCCTCCAAGAGAGTCACGAAGCAACCTTGTGAGCTTGCTGTCCCTGCATGATTCCACTTTGTAATCGGTGTCAACCCATTGTTAAGATTCATCTAATATTGAGGTCACACCATTGACTGATCTTACCTGTAAGGAATGTGACCGGTGTGGTCTACAAGGGCTGTGATTACTCGTCCCAAAGTCAGGAGGCTCTTGTTGATTTCACCAGCTTCTCGTGCGCGTCCCTGGAAAGAAGCATGAAAATATTAGTTTGATGAAAAGAACCATCCATAAGGCTTCACGTACCAGAACTTACTTCTTTGGCGCCGGATCTTCCTATGCACTCCGAACCAGCAAGGTCGACCAGGTTCAGCTTTCCGCACTTGATCAGTTCCACACCCTCCGGAGTTGACTCCTTGATGTGAATAGTGATAGTGAAGATGGAGTGGGAGCGGCTGCACATGAAAGGATATAAATACAGCACATACAGACTCGTTCAGGCTGTCATAAAATTACAATAGAAAGCAAGCATGAGTAAGTGTTGCAAACGAACCTGGACTGCTTGTTCAGCATCGTCTCTGCTGTGCGTCTCTTGGCCGACCCCCTCTCCAATAGCGTGAAAATGTCAGACGAGTTGTTGACAACCTCCTCTTCAAGGCCACGCACAATCACTCCGCCTTTACCATCTTCCATCAAGGCGAGTGGCTTCTTTGACTCGGACGCCACAAGGATGTCATTTGGAGCCAGAAGGTCCGTTATCTCTTCGTTGTAAAGCTCCAGGTAAGTTACTTTGATGTTGTACTCGGCTCCCTGACTATCAAGGGTGTCGAAGATATGCCTGATAGACCGTGGAATTACTCCTGCTCCTTCCGGAAGTTGGCCATTCTCCTGCGAAAAAAACACACACGCTGTCAGTACGGCAGGGAAAATGCCAAATCGGGATTCAGAACGCGGTTCGGCACTCACTCCGGCTCGGGTTACGTCTCCTTGCATAGTAAAGGTCTTCCCCGTCCCCGTTTGGCCGTAAGCGAAGATCGTACAGTTGAAGCCTTCGAGGACCTCCTCGACAATAGGTGCGATCGCGAGCTTGTATAGGTGCTGCTGCTTCGACGTCGGTCCAAATACCTGCAGAGGACATCCATCAAACTCTCAGCGAACGCGATTTCTAGATTAGAACTGAATCGACCTTGCTATTTCATTGCATGAAGCTTACTCTATCGAAAGTGAACGCCTTTTCGCTTGACTTCCCCGCGACATTATGGGCTACCATGACTTCCTTGCGGGATTCATTACATTTGACCACCTGTTGTGCTCGTAGCCGCACATCGTCCGAGGATAATGGCCTGTTCAAGAAGGCGGCGACGATCAGAAATCTGGAATTTGATTCTAAACAGCTCAAATAAACCCCTCAATGTGAAATGTTTACCTGCATCGCAATAATACTTGGACATTAACCCCTTTGTCAGTGTTGGACGCCATTACGTCCAAGCTCACTAGCTATACGACAACCGAGCTTAAGTCTAAGGACACACTCGCTATGCCAGTCGATAATCACAAGCCAGAGGACTATTAGTCAGCAGTCTAAACTGCTTTTCCTAGGACGTTACACCAATCTTTGACTTACTCCCTGAGTTTCAGAGATAGCGGTGAATAGCGTGCTTGATTGCAGCGGAGGGAACCAGGGAGATGAGGAGGTTCGTTTCTCCTGGTCTCCCTGATGTGTTTCGTTGCTCTGCTCTCGGGTATTCCAGATCGAGTCGCGTCAGACCTTGGAAATGCCGTGCCAGTCTCTGAGTGCTTGTCAGAATTCAAAAATTTCGCGCTCAAACGAAGGATTTCGCTAAGAGATGAGCTCGATGTAAAAATGTTCGAAGTTGAAGAATACGTAGCAGCGCTATAGAAATATCAAATAATAGCATAACAAAACGAATTCAAAGAGTAAAAGACTGATACATCAGGAAGAGTTCTAATCTATCTAGCATGTTGTGAAACGAGCTAAAATGGAGCATTAGTAAATATTTTTGTCCATAGTATCAATACCAATACTGCCACTTATTTGTGCATATTGCTGCCGACTACTGCAGCAGCGCACGGATAATGTGCTTCACATTTAGGCGGCGCAGGTCAGTGTATGTCTGACCACAGCCGACAAAAATGATGGGCGCCCCTGATACATACACCATGGACAGGGCAGCACCAACCTGCTCCCAAACAAGAAACGCAAGAAAGCCTGAATTAATCTTTGACAAAAAGCAAAATAATTGGCAACATCCAAGTGAAAGGAAAATTCACCCTAGCTCTGAAACCAGAAACTCGAGAGCTCACCTTATCATCTATAGTGTCAAACTTGGTGAGTAAAATGCCGTCAATGGCGTGGGGAGTGGGAGCAGAGGAGAGGTCAGCCAAGCGCTGGTTGAACTTGGTCAGCTGATCCACTGCATCGTTGCCCACCAGTGCCTCCCCCACAAACAGAACCTGTTGTGCCCATGGTAATGGAGTGGCATTGAATGGGAAGGCATATCACATAATTAGGTGACTCAACAGTGGTCAGCTAATCCACTGCATCGTTGCCCACCAGCGCCTCCCCCACAAACAGTACCTGCTCACAGCCACGGTGGATGGGATGGAAGGAGCATGAAACAACACATGCGTTCACACGTTTAGCACCTCAGAAAGGGAAGAGATCAGCCAAGCGCTGGTTGAACGTGGTCAGCTCAGCCATGGCAACAAACAGATGGTCGAAACCTTTGCTGGGAAAATCTTAGCCAGAGCCACACACACAAGACAGCATCCACCCACCAGGTCAGGTTCGTTGATGTTAATCAGTTTGGAGAGCGCTCGCATGAGCGGCTCGTTGTCCTGCATGCGCCCGGCTGTGTCCACCAGCACTGCATCCATCTTGGTGCCATCCTCTTTCAGTCGCCTCAGGAGGATTCAACAAACCATACGCACCAGGCGAGGCAGAAAGGTTGGGTTGACCCTAGCCATATCCACACATGGCCTCACAGAACCGCACATAACCGCACAGCCGAACACACCCACCCACCCACCAGATCAGGCTCGTTGATGTTAATCAGTTTGGAGAGCGCTCGCATGAGCGGCTCGTTGTCCTGCATGCGCCCCGCCGTGTCCACCAGCACTGCATCCATCTTGGTGCGCGTCGCCTCCCTGATCGCCTCCTTCGCCACCGCCGCTGGGTCCTTCTCGTACCCCCGCTCAAACAGAGGGATCTGCAAGGGGAAAGGGAGGGGGGGAGGGGGAGGGGGTGGGGAGCGAACAGTAGAGACAAAAGGAGAGGAGATAAGGTAACTTGATTACTTTATCGCTTCCTTTGGTGCTCCTGCTGAGTCCTTCTCAAACCTCTGCTCAAACAGGAAAAAATGGAGAAGGAGAGGAGAGAGAACATTAGAGAGACAAGGACGGTGGGAACGGGCCTGAGGGCACAAGAGGCACGCACACCTGACCTGAGGGGCACAGCAGCACACACCTGCAGCCTCCTGGCGTGAGTGCGGAGCTGCTCCACAGCCCCAGCTTGGAAGGTGTCACCATCACCTTGATGTCATGCTGTGACAGCCAGTAGGCCACCTTGCCACCTCGCATCCCTACACTAGCGCACATACATGAGAGCACAGAGCCACAGAGGCATACGCACCTGCAGCCTCCTAGCATGAGTTCGGAGCTGCTCCACAGCCCCCGCACGGAAGGTGTCGCACGCCGCCACCATCACCTTGATGTCGTGCTGCGACAGCCAGTAGGCCACCTTGGCCAGGTTGGTGGACTTGCCCACCCCGTTCACCCCCACAAACACCACCACGTAGGGCCGATTTGCCTCCTTGGCAGCCTGGGGAAACAGAGAGGGCGAGAGGGTGAGGGGAAGAGAGAGGGAGCGTCTGACGCAGGCTGTGACAGCCAGTAAGCCACCTTGGCCAGGTTGGTGGACTTTCCCACCCCGTTCACCCCCACAAACACCACCACGTAGGGGCGGTTAGCTTCTTTCGCAGCCTGGGGGGAGTTAGAGTGAGAGTGGAAGAGAAAGTACAGCTGAGTCAATGCAAAAGGCTGGGTTATGATGACAGCCAGTAGGCAGCTATAGCCAGGTTGGTGGACTTGCCAGGTTGGTGGACAAAAGGCTGGGTTGTGGGAGCCAGCAGGCCGCCTTGACTAAGTTGGTAAATTAGCCCACCCTGTTCACCCACACGAGAGAAGAATCTACAGACTACAGGTACCAAGAGGCGCTCATGCTCTCTCACCTGCACGTCACGCAGAATGTCGATGGAGCGCTTGGGCGTGAGAATGCGGGTGAGCGCATCCTCCATGGCCGCCTGCAGCAGGTGAGGTTGCGAGAGTGTGGGGGGGAGGGAAAAGACGTGAAACGTAAGGGACATGGAGGGTTGGAAGTGAGGATGCACCTCCTCATCTCTCTCATCTCTCTCGTATCTCTCGTCCTTCCTGGCCACTCAACGAGCCAGCCATGAAGTGGGTTCCGCTTGCGAGGTCGGTCAAAATCGTTGCTCGCATGGCGGTTCGACAATGTTGAAGGCTCCGTGCCAAATCCAACGTTGTCAAACCGTCATGCGAGAAATCATTGAGCTCAACCCTCCCAAACAAAACCCGCCTCATGGCTGGCTCGTTGAGTGGACGAGAAGGACGAGAAAGACCCTCCTTTCCCTCTTCCCTCTCCCCCTGCCCCCTCCCTCTCCTACCTCCCTTTCCCCCCCTCACTCTCCCCCCTTGCTCCCCCCCCCTCCCTCTCCCCCCTCCCTCCCTCTCCCGCCCTCCCTCCTTCCCTCCCTCTCACCTGCACGGTGGAGGAGATGCGTGTGAAGGATGCGTGCTTGCTGCCCACCAGGCTCGACGCCACCGAGCGGCAAAGCTTCTCCGCTATCTCCTCCGCCTGGTGGGGATTGGGGTGAGAGACACACACACGCAAGGCGGAAAAAAAAAAAAAAAAAAACGAACTGAAGCATTGGAAAACAAAAAACCGAAGAGGGAAAGGAGGGATATGGACTGAGTGAAGGAATCAGAAGCGGACTGGTGAAATGGCTAAGGGGATGACAGCAGGATTCCCAGGTGGGGTTGACAGCTTACCACGTTCTTAGTCATGAGGCGATCCTTGAGCACCTTGAGCGACGGCTCTATGTCCGCCAGTTCGAGAGACGCCTTCCCCACCACGCTGAGGCAAGGGATAGCAAGAGAGGCAGAGGGGAGAAGAGTGGGAGTGTGGTGGGGTGATGCGAATGTACGGAATGAGCGGACGGCTCAGTGTCTGCCTGCCTACAGGGACGCTACAAGGAAGCAAACGACCCCCCTCGCCCTCCCCTTCCCCTTTCTCCTCCCCTCTCTGGATAATTGAAGCACGCCTGCCGGTCTTCTTCCCCTCACTGCCATCGTCCCCACAAACCACAAGCCTACGAGACCAACTCCATTTCCTCCCTTCTCCTCATTCTCCCCTCTTTTTTGGTTCGTACCTCTGGAAAACAGAAGCAAGCCAGCCGGTCTTCTTCCCTTCACTGCCATCATCCCCGCGACCCACGTGCCTGCGCGACCCCTTCCGGTCCCTCTCCCCTTCCTCCTCCGACTCCTCATCCTCATCCTCCCCTCCCCACTCCGCGTCCTCCTCTTCCTCCAGCTCAGCTTCTCGGTCCATCATGCTCTTCCCCACCTTTGCCACGTCAACAACCTCCACGTCAGTGTCGTGATCCGAAGCTTCCGAGAAGTCCTGCCGCTCCAGAGCCGGCCCGTCGTTATCCCACTTCCGCATCTGCTTCTTCGGTTTCTTTGATTCGCTTTCCGACGCGCTTCCGTCGGTTTTTCCGTCGGATTTCCCGCCGCCCTTGGCGGGATTCAGCGGGAAATCGAAAAGCCCGTTACCGGTTTTCTTCGCCGAAGCCTGCTTGCTGCGGTTCGCGCGGTTACGCAGCTTCGAGACGTCAAACGCGCCGGCGGAGGAGACGGCCGAGCTGCTGCTGGGACGGCTAGCCGGCTGCTCGGCCTCGCTGTTAGCCGCTCCGTCCTCATCGCCGGTATCGTCGCTCCCACTGTCTCCGCCATCTTTCGCCACGCCTCCCTTTCTCTGATTGGCTCCTGTTCCTTTCCCTTTCCCCGCTCCCGTGGCCTTATTCATGCCTTTACCCTTTTTCGTCTCGCCGAAATTGGTAACCTGCTTCGGCCGCTTCAACTCGTTCGCATGCTGTTCAGATTCGCGAAGCAGCTGCTTGAAAACGTCGTCGAAATCCGGGTAAGACGTTTTCTTCGGATCGTAGTGTCCATCCGCAAACTCATCCCTAACAGCTGTCAACAGATCATCCACATAAAGCAACTGCAGCATACGTTGATACACCGCCACGAACACCAACCCTAACTCGTTATGGAAGGACCACTTTAACGTATAAGCCGACTGGTCCTTGGCGTTATACTGGAACGTCTTCTCGCCGGACCGCTCCTGCAGCAGGCAGTTCTGAATCAGCGCGTCGATCGGCGAGCCTTTCATGGCCGTCATCTGAAACGTCCAGAGGACGAGCCCGCCGCGCGTAAAGATCGAGAAATGGTCCAACATCGTGACGGCTTCAGTTGCCCGCGATGCTAACTAGTCAGGTCGATACGGTTCACAGAATAAGTTGCAAACCCTCCTGAAGCTACTCCTAATCTGAAAAACGTATCTGGATTGCGGGATCTTGTATTCGAGCTGATGACATGGGCGAGTCTGAATCTCCCGTGTGGTGGAATGCGATGCGATGTCTTTATAGTGCCATAAACCAGCATATATGAGCGGTTGAGAAGGGTGACCAACTTTTGAGGGAAGGCCACAGCTTCCTCCGAACCGAACGGGGCGGACGGAACGCGTCGGTGGGAATGACGGAGATCCAACGGATGTGTGCGTCTGGTTGTAATCTGGTGAGACGATAAGAATCGAGTTTGTGTGGGCCTCGATATTATCGAAAGGCTACGTGCTCTACACAGTTCCTGTTCGCTTGATGTACACAGCGAGTATAACATGCATTTTAGGAGATTCCATCACAAGTTATGCATTCAATAGCATCCATGAGGGACACCTTACCATACCACAAGTAGATTTTGCGTATTCTCCAAGGAAAAAATATATACACGCCATAAGTGAATACAATAACAATTTATAACGACCCCACTGTACACTCCCATGATGCATTTTGTATCAAGCACTGCATGAAATGGGTAAAGGGGCAAGCAGCCCACCATCCATGTATAGCTAAAAGACATCATACATCCTCTTCACTGCTCTCGGCTGGGAGCAGGGGCAGGTCAACTGTCCGGCCGTACACAAAAGTTCTAAGCAGTGGCGGCACCTCTACTTGCGCCAGCCAAGCACTCAGAGCTGCTCCCTCCACCGTCTCATTATCTGGTGCGATGCATAAAAATGTGGGTGGGAGTATATGGAGAAACAATGAATGGCTGTGGGAAATGACACTTAGGAAAAAGGAAGAAGACAACATTTGAGGACATTTGAGGAGAAACAGTACAAAGAAGCAGGTATAGGTGCACCTTCAACCATCAATTTCCAGGCAACCTCACCTTGCAGCGTCCTTCCCAGGTCTTCCAGCAGCCCTCTGTTGCACACCAGCACAGCCCGCGCCACCTCTAAAGCATCCTGCAGCAGCTGTTGCACCTCATCCTGCACCTCATCCAATCCGACAACCTCCCCTACGCAAGACTGAGACACCTCGACTCGCACCTCATCCTGCACCTGATCTCACACCTTCCACTGGTCCTTCCCCCCCAAGGCAACAATCACAAGGCAGTCTCAAGTCTCACCTTGCAGCGTCCTTCCCAGGTCTTCCAGAAGCCCTTTGTTGCACACCAGCACCGCCCGGGCCACCTCTAGAGCCGCCTGCAGCAGCTGTTGCACCTCATCCTGCACCTGGTCCGACAGCCTCCCCTGGTCCTTCCCCCCCCAGGAAAACCCTCCCCCTCCGTCCAACCCTCCTCCCGCCAGGGTACCCACTGACATTGGACCTATGGTCCCACTCAGCCCATATTCTGCTACTGCCTTATATGCCACGTCTGTAGCACGGCGAATGTCGTCTACTGCTCCTGTAGAGATTCTCCCGCCAAAACAGACGTCTTCTGCCGCCCGGCCCCCTAGAAGGACGGCGAGCTGGCCACGGAGCTCGTCGACAAACACTAGAAGACGCTCCTCGCCGTCCGCTGGGGGCGGCATGTAGGCGAATCCTAATGCGCCGCCCGACCGGGGTACGATGGAGATTTTTTGGACTACCCGTTGGTCAGGTAAAACTTTTGCAATGGCTGCCCCCAGCAGCGCATGGCCTGCTTCATGCCGTGCTACCACAGCTTTTTCTGCCCGGCCCAAAGCTGACCGTTTCTTCTCAATTCCCTGTGAACAAGGGAAAAATAGAATCGCATGTGGATAAACAACAATGAATCAAACATCAACTGCACATAAAGGACATACACGGCGTGCACAACGCAAAGCAACAGCCACACACACACAGCAAGAACCACACTCATAGCAACAACCGCTCACAGCAAGAACCACACTCATAGCAACAACCGCTCACAGCAAGAACCACACTCATAGCAACAACCGCTCACAGCAAGAACCACACTCATAGCAACAACCGCTCACAGCAAGAACCACACTCATAGCAACAACCGCTCACAGCAAGAACCACACTCATAGCAACAACCGCTCACAGCAAGAACCACACTCATAGCAACAACCGCTCACAGCAAGAGCCCGCTCAACAGCACTATCAAAGTCCTGCCTTGTTTCCTCCTTGTGGCCCCTCCTCGCTGTTATTCTCCGTCTTCACCACTCCCTAAAGTCAGAGTCCCCAATCAGCCACACTCACTGCAAGCGCTCACTGAACAGCGCTGCACTCTGCGCTGCAATCTCTCCTCGTAATCACACTCCTCGTTCAGCCACACTCACTGCAAGCGCTCACTGAACAGCGCTGCACTCAGCGCTGCAATCTCTCCTCGTAATCACACTCCTCGTTCAGCCACACTCACCGCAAGCGCTCACTGAACAGCGCTGCACTCTGCGCTGCAATCTCTCCTCGTAATCACACTCCTCGTTCAGCCACACTCACTGCAAGCGCTCACTGAACAGCGCTGCACTCTGCGCTGCAATCTCTCCTCGTAATCACACTCCTCGTTCAGCCACACTCACTGCAAGCGCTCACTGAACAGCGCTGCAATCTCTCCTCGTAATCACACTCCTCGTTCAGCCACACTCACCGCAAGAGCCCGTTCAACAGCGCTGTCAAAGTCCTGCTTGGTCACCTCCTCGTGGTCCCTCCTCATTGTTCATCTCACATCCCATGCCGGCCACTCATTGCAATCACGCACTCCTACCAGCCACACTCACCGCAAGAGCTCGTTCAACTGCACTGTCAAAGTCCTGCTTAGTGACCTCCTCGTGGTCCCTCCTTATTGTTCATCTCACATCCCATGTCAGTCACTCATTGTAATCACAGCACTCACCGCAAGAGCCCGTTCAACAGCACTATCAAAGTCCTGCTTAGTGACCTCCTCGTGGTCCCTCCTTGCTGCCAGCAGCGCTGCCTCGTTCACCAGATTCGCCAAATCAGCCCTGGAATGGGGGGGGACGGGGAAGAAGGGGGGGGACGGGGAAGAAGGGGGGGGGACGGGGAAGAAGGGGGGGGGACGGGGAAGAAGGGGGGGGGACGGGGAAGAAGGGGGGGGGGACGGGGAAGAAGGGAAGGTATGGGTACAGCATGACAGTGAGGGGGTACAGCATGACAGTGAGGGGGTACAGCATGACAGTGAGGGGGTACAGCATGACAGTGAGGGGGTACAGCATGACAGTGAGGGGGTACAGCATGACAGTGAGGGGGTACAGCATGACAGTGAGGGGGTACAGCATGACAGTGAGGGGGTACAGCATGACAGTGAGGGGGTACAGCATGACAGTGAGGGGGTACAGCATGACAGTGAGGGGGTAAAGAACACCACATCTCCTCGTGGTCCCGGGAGGGAAATTTGTTGCAGCGTATGTTTTTTGAGAATTCTCAAAAAACATACGCTGCAACAAATTTCCCTCCTACAGCATGACAGTGAGGGGGTAAAGAACAGCACATCTTCTCGTGGTCCCTCCTCCTTGCTGCTAGCCACATTGCTTTGTGCACCAGATTTGCCAAAACAACTTAGCAATGAAGGGAAGGCAAGGAGGCCGGATGTGTCAGGGTGCTGCATGGCAGTGGGGCAGTGAGATAAACGGATGTTATAATCACTTTTGAAAAGTCTCAAAACTAATCTCTTGATGTTCTCTCCTTGCTGTCTCGTTCACCGAATTTGCCCAAGGGGTTGATGAGGGGGCCATATCATCTCAACCATCTAAACACACGCATGCACGCACGCACGCACACACACACTCACTCACTCACCCAGTGAATCCGCTTGTGGAAACAGCAATCTCCTGAATGTCCACATCGGTGCTCAGAGGTAGCTCTTTCTGCTCCACATCTCAACCCATCCCAACCCCTCCCAACCCATGCACATACCCCGTAAATCCGCTGGTGGCGACAGCGATTTCCTGAATGTCCACATCGGTGCTCAGAGGTAGCTCCTTGTGCTCCACATGCACCGTCAGTATGGCCTCCCTCCCCTTGCGATCCGGAGGCTCCACCTGAGAGTGGGAGTGTGGGTTTGGAAGAAGATATGTGGCTGTGGTGTGAGTCTGTGAGATGGGATGGCATGTTGCTGCATCAGCTAGTGGCAGCTCCTTGTGCTCCACATGCACCGTCAGTATGGCCTCCCTCCCCTTGCGATCAGGAGGCTCCACCTGAGAGGGTGAGTATGTGTGTGTGTGTGTGGTGGTGGTGCGGAGGTGGAGGAGAGGGTACACATATGGAAGAAGGGATGGGAAGCAGAGATCGGAAGAAGAAGAAGAGATCGGTCACATGGGGTTGTGGCAGCTCTTTCTGCTCCACATGCACTGTCAGTATGGCATCAAGACCCATCAAGCCCCATTACCACACACACAGAACAGCACGCCAAACAGCTGTTTGATGCTATGCTACCACACTGAACGAATCTGCACACACACTACACCACCCCCCACCGTTCCTCACCGCTACAATCCGGTCGAACCGCCCTGGGCGGCGCAGGGCGGGGTCGATGACGTCTGCCCTGTTGGTGGCTGCGAGGACAATGACTGCAGTGCTGCTGTCAAACCCGTCCATCTCCTGTGGTGACAGATGGAAGAGCGCACAACATGGGTGTAAAGCACGCAAGCAAGCACAGTAGTGTGAGGCGCCTCAAAAGAGCGCACAACATGGGTGTAAAGCACGCAAGCAAGCACAGTAGTGTGAGGCGCCTCAAAAGAGCGCACAACATGGGTGTAAAGCAAGCAAGCAAGCACAGTAGTGTGAGCACGCACGCGTGATTTGAGGCGCCTCAAAAGAGCGCACAACATGGGTGTAAAGCACGCGTGTTTTGAGGCGCCTCAAAAGAGCGCACAACATGGGTGTAAAGCACGCGTGTTTTGAGGCGCCTCAAAAGAGCGCACAACATGGGTGTAAAGCACGCGTGTTTTGAGGCGCCTCAAAAGAGCGCACAACATGGGTGTAAAGCACGCGTGTTTTGAGGCGCCTCAAAAGAGCGCACAACATGGGTGTAAAGCACGCGTGTTTTGAGGCGCCTCAAAAGAGCGCACAACATGGGTGTAAAGCACGCGTGTTTTGAGGCGCCTCAAAAGAGCGCACAACATGGGTGTAAAGCACGCGTGTTTTGAGGCGCCTCAAAAGAGCGCACAACATGGGTGTAAAGCACGCGTGTTTTGAGGCGCCTCAAAAGAGCGCACGACATGGGTGTAAAGCACGCGTGTTTTGAGGCGCCTCAAAAGAGCGCACAACATGGGTGTAAAGCACGCGTGTTTTGAGGCGCCTCAAAAGAGCGCACAACATGGGTGTAAAGCACGCGTGTTTTGAGGCGCCTCAAAAGAGCGCACGACATGGGTGTAAAGCACGCGTGTTTTGAGGCGCCTCAAAAGAGCGCACGACATGGGTGTAAAGCACGCGTGTTTTGAGGCGCCTCAAAAGAGCGCACGACATGGGTGTAAAGCACACGTGTTTTGAGGCGCCTCAAAAGAGCGCACGACATGGGTGTAAAGCACACGTGTTTTGAGGCGCCTCAAAAGAGCGCACGACATGGGTGTAAAGCACGCGTGCACGGTAGTGTGAGGACAATCACGCAGGGCAGAGTCAATGGCGTCTGCCTCGTTGGTGGTTGCAAGGACAATCACCGCTGTACTGTAGTGGAGGATACAAGGTTGCATTGAAAGCAGAAGAGGCACATACATAGGTACATAGGTGTCACTGGCTCACAAGCACGCTCTGTACATGGGTGTATATGAGCAAATACAGACCAACCTACCCACCCCCTGACTCACCCACTCACCGTGAGCAGTTGGTTCAGGGTCTCCTCCCTCTTGTCATTACCCACACTGCGCATGCGCCCGTGCAATCACCCGCTCAAGCACACACAAACACACACTCCTACTCTTCCAACAACTCACAAACCCCCCCCACTCACAGTGAGCAGCTGGTTCAGGGTCTGCTCCCTCTCGTCGTTTCCCACACTGCGCATGCGCCCATCCCGCACCTTGGCCACTGCATCGATCTGCCAAAGGGAAGAGAGGGAAGAGAGAGGGAAGAGAGAGGGAGAGATTGCACACAGGAGAAGAGATGGGAAAGAGCACGAATCAAATCACTAGCTTGCTGGCATCAATACATCGCACATTGCGCATGCGCCCATCCCGCACCTTGGCCACTGCATCAATCTGTCGAGGGAGAGACAGAGGGGATGGAACGAGGTGAACGAGGTGACTTTTCAGTCGACTCAAAAGTCACCTCGAGACAGAGGGGATGGAACGAGGTGAACGAGGTGACTTTTCAGTCGACTCAAAAGTCACCTCGAGACAGAGGGGATGGAACGAGGTGAACGAGGTGACTTTTCAGTAGACTCAAAAGTCACCTCGAGACAGAGGGGATGGAACGAGGGAGAAGGTGACTTGACCAGTTGTGTGTGTGTTTTGGGCATAAAACAACTCAGAAAACCACACACACACAACTGGTCATGACTCATAACCTTGGACGGTTGCAGTTGGACTTATGAGTCGGTTCAAGTGCTGCTCGCACAAATAAAGGACTCCCATACGAGCTCGCCTCATCACTGGACACGACAAAGGGCGAGTCCTTCATGATTCGTGCGAACAGCTTTCTATTCAACTCACAAGACATTTGGGTCACTGGTCATGAAGAAGAGCTGCAGCGTGAGGGATCGCTGCAGCTCTTCTTCATGACCAGTGACCCGTGGGACTTCAACTCACAAGACATTTTTCTTTCGAGGCGTAACCTGGTCCTGCCATACACTCACCTCATCAATCAACAAGACGGGGGGCGAGCCCTTCTATATGCGTGCAAACAGCTCTGAAGTCTACTCAAAAGTCCTCTGGCCCGGTCACTATCACTCTCTCACTATAAGCAGAACCCGTTACAAGCTCACCTCATCAATAAACACGATAGACGGCGAGTCCTTCTTTGCCTGCGCGAACAGCTCTCTCACTCGCGACGCACCCAGGCCCACATACAGCTCCACAAACTCGCTACCGCTGCAGCTTATAAAGGGTACGTCTGCCTCCCCAGCCACTGCCTTGGCCAGCATCGTCTTTCCCGTGCCTGGCGGCCCAACCTGAAAGGCAGGCTCGGCAAACAGGGGAAAAAGGCCAGAGGAGGTTTAGCTGAGGAAACTTCTGCGTTCGCTAATTTGGTTACGACTTAGATTGGGCTCCTAAGAAGCCATAACGATGAGTAGGACTCACTCGAAAGCATCAAATTTGAGACCACGCCACTGAAGGTGGAAAAGCATACAAGCAAGCAACATTGTGTGAGGGAACCATGAGCCAGCAGGCAGCACAGCACACGCCCTCACCAGCAGCACAGCACACGCCCTCACCAGCAGCACAGCACACGCCCTCACCAGCAGCACTCCTCTGGGAGGTCTGGCCCCCAGTCGAGTGAAACGCTCCGGCGTGCGGAGATACTCCTGGGGTGGTGAGGCGGGGCGGGGCGGGGAGAAGCAAAAAAGGAGATGAAGCAGAAACCAAAAGAACCGGATTTTATTTAGTAAAGCCTAGGCGTGCTAAGGTGCCCCTGGGGTGGCGAAAGGAGGAGGAGAGAGAGGCAAGAATGAAATAGATGAAGAAGAAACCAGATAGGGGAGATAAAGTGCTTAATCAGTCAAGCTGACTTTTGAGTCGACTCAAAAGTCACCAGATAGGGGAGATAAAGTGTTTAATCAGTCAAGCTTCGGCGGCACAAAGGTCCTCCTCGGATTTCGAAGCAAGGATGAGAGAAGAAAGCTGGACAATGAGTCACCAGGGGAGATAAAGTAGGGGAAAAGGAGACCCTCCTTCACACACTCGCCCCACCCCTTCGTCCCACCACTTACCAAGATCTCCTCCAATTCCTCTTTCGCCTCATCCACCCCCATATAGCCCACACCCTCCCTCCTCTCCCCTCCCCTCCCCTCCCCTCCCCTCCCCTCCCCTCCCCTCCCCTCCCCTCCCCTCCCCTCCCCTCCCTTCCCCTCCCCCTCCCCCTTCACCAACACTCGGCCCACTTACCACGATCTCCTCTAGCTCCTCTTTCGCCTCATCCACCCCTGCCACGTCAGCAAACAGCACTGGCGGCGCCTTGCCCTTCTGACTGCGTGCCTTACCCCCAAACTTTGGACATGCCACGTGGATGAAAGGATGGACAGAGTTTGAATGGCATGCCTCATGGAAGGATGGAGAAAAATATGAATTGCCATGCCACGTGGAGAAATGGATGGGCAGAGTTGGGACGGACAGAGTTGGGACGGACAGAGTTGGGACGGACAGAGTTGGGACGGACAGAGTTGGGACGGACATCAGATGGGAGGATGGGTGGATGAGTGAAAGCAAACGATACGGCATTAACGCACTTATAACAGCCAGCAGCAGAGTGGAGTGGCGTGCATCAAGCACCCTTTTAAGAAAGGCTTTTGCGTAAACTATTTCTTTTTTTCATCACACGCGGATTATATGTGGAGTGGAGAGCCAGCAGCAGAGTGGAATGGAGTAGCGTGCTGCGTGCATCAAATGCCCCCTTAAGAAAATTGTCTCAGCAAACGCACATTATATGTGGAGAGACAGGGCCCAGCAGCAGAGTGGAGTGGAGTCGAGTCGAGCGGTGTGCATCGAATGCCCCCATGCGGATTCCACCACCTGTCAATCGCCCCCTCGCAACTAAACTCACCTCATACGCTGATCCCTTCACTAACCTGTGCGCGTGTGATGAGTCGCTTTTTGAGTCGACTCAAAAATCGCCCCCTCGCGACTTAACTAACCTCGTACGCGAATCCCTTCACTAACCTGTGCGCGTGTGATGAGTCGCTTTTTGAGTCGACTCAAAAATCGCCCCCTCGCGACTTAACTCACCTCATACGCGAATCCCTTCACTAACCTGTGGGAGCTTCATTTGCAAGCGCGAGAGCACGACCGCTGCTATGCCTGCGTACAGGAGAGTGGACTGGGAAGGATAGTGCAGGGACGCAGATGCGAGGGCATGGCAAGGAGGGCATGGAAGGAGGGCATGGCAAGGAGGGCATGGCAAGGAGGGCATGGCAACGGGAAAGATGAGAAAAATAAAGGAGTGAGACTGAAAATCATCACCACACACACACTTACCACACACACACACACACTCTCACCACACCACCCTCTCTGCACACGTCCCCACTCCACACACACTCTCTCACATGGCTGCACTGCCCTCAGACGTCCCCGCTCCACACACACGAATTCCACCCCCACTCGTATATTCTCACTACACTTTCCCCTCTCTCCCCGTTTCCCCCTTTCTCCCCCCTTTCCCCTCTCTCCCCGTTTCCCCTTTTCTCCCCCCTTTCCCCTCTCTCCCCGTTTCCCCCTTTCTCTCCCCTTTCCCCCCTCTCTCCCAGTTTCCCCCTTCTCCCCCCTTTCCCCTCTCTCCCCGTTTCCCCCTTTCTCCCCCCTTTCCCCTCTCTCCCCGTTTCCCCCTTTCTCCCCCCTTTCCCCTCTCTCCCCGTTTCCCCCTTGCTCTCCCCTTTCCCCTCTCTCCCCGTTTCCCCCTTTCTCCCCCCTTTCCCCCCCTTTCCCCCCCTTTCCCCCCTCTCTCCCCGTTTCCCCCTTTCTCCCCCCTTTCCCCTCTCTCCCCGTTTCCCCCTTTCTCCCCCCTTTCCCCCCTCTCTCCCAGTTTCCCCCTTCTCCCCCCTTTCCCCTCTCTCCCCGTTTCCCCCTTTCCCCCCTCTCCCCTTGACTGCTCACCAAGATGGTATTCCCGAGCTTGAACGACGCCCAGGCAGAGCACCCGCCCCACCCTCACTCACATACCCTCACTAGACTTCTCCCCCTCTCCCTCCCCCCCCCCCCCCCCCCCCCCCCTCCTCTCCCCCTTCTCCCCTTTCTCCCCCCTCCCCCACCCCTTTCCCCATGACTGCTCACCGAAATCGTATTCACGAGTTTAAACGACGCCTTATCCGGAGCACCAAACTCTACGTGGCGTGACATCAGCTCAGCGTACGGGACCGCCACGTCAGCAGGCTTCACCGTAGTCAGCTGCACTTGGACAGGTGGCATCTTCCCCACCTTCTTCCCGGAAGCTTCCCCCGCCTCCTTCCACTTGCTCTCTGCCATTCTTTCCACTTGGCGAATCATGGGTTGTAACTCCGTCGCCTTGTGCCCTTTTGCGAACTCGGGGCGTCGCAGAACGAACGACACCTTGTCGCCGTCTACAGTAATCGACACGATATTGTCCTTCTTCACGTGGTAAAGAAACTCCGAAAACGGAACAGTGATGGAGAAGGAAATTCGAGTCGTCTCCTGCTGCTCCTGCTGCTGCTTCTGCAGCTGCTGCCGCTGCTGCCGCTCCTTCGCATCTAAACCCGCACTGCCAGCATCAGAACCAGCAGACGCCGCCTCGTCAGACACCAGGGTATTCGCCGGTAACCCCCACTTTTCCAGGGTTACAACGACGGTCTTTGGAAGTAACCCGAAACGGCGCGCCGCGCGTTTCACGACGAGCGGGTGCGAGCTAAGAATCCGAGCAGAGAGCATCAGAACCACCAGATTCGTCACCAAAAACGTGAGAAGCTTCAGATCTGGGAGAATCCCCAGGATAAGTTTCCGCCACCACGGGGAGCTGTCGTCGCTGCCTCGCCGCGACGGCCGCTGCGAGCCGCGCCTCCCGTCCTTCCCCGCGCCGTTTGGTTTCGATGACGTGCCTTGCGCTTTTCTTCCGTCGGACGTCGCCTTGTCGCTTTTCGACCCGGCTGGACTTAAATTCCCTTTTTGAATCTGTGAGAGCTGCTGCTGCTGATGCTGCTGCGAGTTAGGCTGTTTCGGGTCTTGTTGCTGCGGACGTAAGCCGCTGGCCTCGGGATTCGAAGCTCCCGAAGAAGCTTCGCCGTCGGATGCGCTGGCGTTTCCTACGGAGCTGGATTGCACCAGGATAACCCGAGAAGGGGGAATATTCGCGGAAGCCGCGGAGAACGAACCGCATGACGCGGGAACAGGCTCTGGAGAATCATCCGGCGGGGAGGCGTCGCCGCTTCTATCGGCGCTGGAGAGGATTCTAAGGACCCCGCGCGTCGAGGCGCATCGGGGAAACGGTCGCGTCGCTCTCGCGCAGGCTAACCGTTTGTGAAGATCGGAGAAAAGATCCGAGGCTTGTCTGCTATGCACTCTTGGCGGACCGCAAATCCCGGTGCTGAGCAAGCTCGTCATAGCACAGGAAGCGAGAGTATTACGTATGTACGAAGAATATAAGAAGACGGCGACCCTAGACTCTAGAAGTGCATAGCGCAAGGCCAACGTCTAGCGCAGGAGCAGCATGAATCACCTACGCTTGGAAAGCGTGGTGTATGGCGGAATTTAGGGCGAAGTCAGGTTATACGATTCTCACGCGTTTACAGTTCTTGTTTTGTGGTTCAGGATGGTCCAGCACGGTGAAAAGCGGTTCTCGCCTTGTACCGCTCTGCACCGTGTTGAAACAGAGTTAACCGCTGAAGGCGTACAAAAGGTTGTACAACCTGACGTCGCCCTTAGGGTTGCCTTACGGAGATGTGACGTATGATGTGGAAGGCGGATAAACGCCCCGAAGAACTAGTATCTAGGCACTAGTTTGCTCTGAACTCTGTGGTGCGGTGCGTGGTGTGGTATAGTGTGTTATCATATGGTTTTGCTATTTTGATTTTGGTAACGTGTGCTTCAATACGGTCGATTCTCTGGCTCTCCTTGTGATGTGATGTGGTTGAGGTGTCGCTGTAGCGAAGGGTGAATGTGCGCTAGGTTTGGGGGAAGGGATGAAACGGGGAAGCGGGCAGAAGCCACACAAGCCGTTTGCGAAGATGAGCCTGGGGACTGGGCTTGCACGATTTGGATTGGACAGGAAACTACCACGAGCGGATTTTGAGTTGACCCTGGAAAGAAACAGGCAACGACCCAAGTATCCTCAATGTACCAGTGACATGAGAAGGGCCTGCATCTGTTTAACGCCACGTCACACATTCACGCTTTTAGCACGTCCCTCCGACACCAGGGGGCTGATGAGTTACTCTTGCCCGCATAAACCACGTGCAAAAACCTCCGTGGCAACGGAAACCAAACAAGTTGCTTCGCCACCAGTCAATGCCTCGAGATTAGGCACCTAGGATGTGAAAGCAAAACTTTATAATAGCATCCCCTTCTAAAGCGCACTGGCAGATTGGCTGTCTTAAGTCTATATAGAAATCTTAGTGTCCTCTTAGCGTCTTCTGGAGGAGCCCCGCGACTTTGAACGGGTAGTGGTCTGCAAGGGACAGAAAAAAAATCAGGATAACATCATTAAAAATAAATCTGCGATCACGTACTGCGCACACGACATGTGCAGGGGAAAAAAAATAAAAGATGGGAAAGAAAAAAATAAATTACGGTAGAATAAAAGACAGAAAGAAACACTGAGTATGAGCTCACCGTTTGAGTTGTGTTGCCAAAACCAGATGGCATCGGGGCAGCCGGCTGAAGTGTCGGAGTGGCAGGAGCACCTGTTGACAATTAAAAAAAAACAAAAAAGCACACACACAAACATAAAACATTGACAAGCAAACTTCAGAAGACTGATATGCATACACCAACAGGCACAAACATCGACAATTGAAAAACCGCAACCATCATAAAAAAACGGTTGTTACAAAACAAGCCGCCAGATCCAGCTGCCGCACTCCCCCCCAGCAGAAATCGAGAGAGGGGGGTGTCAGGCTGACTCTGTTTTTTGAGAATTCTAAAAAAGCGTGGTACATACCAAACAAGCCGCCAGATCCAGCTGCCGCACCCCCAGCAGGAGCACCAAACAGCCATGTGCCAGGAGCCGACGCCGCTGCTCCAAACGGCGACGGCGAGGGTCCCCCAGCAGCACCGAACGGCGAAGCAGCGGGAGCACCGAAAGGCGACGCTGCTGCTGGCGTTGCTCCGAACAGACCCCCGGTTGTGGGACCAGCCGGGGACCCAAACAGCGACGGGGTGCTTGCGGCCGCTCCTGCTGCTCCTGGGGTTGCTCCAAAGGCAGATGCGCCGGTGCCGAAAGCCGAGGTGTTCCCAAAGAGAGAGGAGCCGGGGGACGAGCCTGCTGCTGCCGGGTTCGGAGCGCCGAAGAGAGACGTGGTGCCCGTGGCAGGTGTGGCAGGGTTGCCGAAAGAAAGGCCAGGAGAGGATGCAGCAGCAGCAGCGGCGGCACCAGGAGTGGCACTGCCGAAGAGCGACGGAGTGGGGGTGCCAAAGAGGGAGGTGCCTGGGGAGCTGCCTGCTACAGCAGAGGCAGGGGGGGTACCGAAGAGGGAGAGACCAGGGGTGGTGGCGGTGGCTGGGGTGGTGGAACCGAAGAGGGATGGTGTGGTGGATGTGGAGGAGGGGAAGAGCCCGGTAGGGTTTGGGGAGGCGCCGGGAGTGGTGGTTCCGGGAAGGAGGGAGAGCGGAGAGGAAAGAATCCCACTGCCTGTACCTCCTGCACCAGCAGCACCGGCAGCACCACCAGCAGCACCAGTACCAACGCCAGCAGCAGAGCCGAGCAGGGAGGGTTTCTTACTGGCAGTAGCAGCAGCCTCAATCCGGTCTGCCTCTGCAAACGGATTACTCCGGTCGCCCCTCCTCCGCCTCTCCGCCAGAAACGCATTCCTTGCCGCATCCACCCTCTCATGTACCCTCTCCACCTGAGCTGCTACATGTATGAAAAAATCATGCAGATTCTTTATAATCACAGGGAGAGCCTCAACCGCTGCTGCCGCTGAAGCTGCCGACGCGGCTCGGGAGTACCCGACGCCGAACCTGGAGTCTGCCAGGGCTGGTTCGATGGCTGCCTGGAGCTCGGTGAGCTTGTGGCGGTACTCTGTTACTTTAACTTCAAAGCGAGCGACTGTGTCGATGAGGAAGGGCGACGGCAGGCACGGCACGCCCCGGTAGATGTCCGCTTGCCCTGGGGGTTATGACGGGGAGGTTGAGGGGGGAGAGGGGGAGCTCGGTGAGCTTGTGGCGGTACTCTGCTATCTTGACTTCAAAGCGAGCGACTGTGTTGATGAGGAAGGGCGATGGCAGGCAGGGCACCCCCTGGTAGATGTCCGCTTGCCCTGGGAGGGTTGAGGGAATCAGCATGTTTTAAGTCGATTCAGGGATATCATAATACAGCAGGGTCGACTCAGGGAGGTGATTTATTGGGAGCCTAAAAAATCGCCTCACTACACGCGGATTTCATACCTGGTGCCGCTAGGTTGGCTCAGGGAGGTGGGGAAATTGGTGTGTTTTAAGGCGAAACATACGGGGTTTGCGAACTGAAGTTACTGGTGCAGTTGGGTTGGCTCAGAGAGGTGGACTGATCGGCGGATTTTAGCAGACCCGGGATACAGCACAAGTCTGAAGGCGCACCTGGTGCCAGCGAGTCTGCTCCAGGGAGGTGGGGGAACCGCGAGCGGAGGAGAGAGAAGGAGCGCACTGCCAGGTCGCTGTGGTGCAGCAGGTGCTGCGCCGTGTGCAGCATGTGGTGCAGGGACGCCCGCTCTGTGTCCACCCTTGATGCCACGTGTGAGAGGCTCTGGAGGGCGGTAAAGGAGGGTTAGAGAGGGGGGAAATGCACAGCTTGGTCAGCAGCAGGGGGGGCTGTGGTGCAGCAGGTGCTGCGCCGTGTGCAGCATGTGGTGGAGGGATGCTCTCTCCATGTCCATCCGTGATGCCACGTGCGAGAAGCTCTGGAAGAGGGAGAGGGCGAAAGAAAGGCAGGAGGAGATAAGAAGAATATGCAGTGGGGAAGAGAGGGTGGTAATGGAGGGAGAAGCGGCGGAAAAAAAGTCATGCACTGCTCCGAATCCAAGTCAGCTATCCACGTCAGCCATATTCACACGCCAGCTATGCGGACCAGCTAAAGACCAACTCAAACCAGCCAGCTGGATACCACTCAACCGTGTTGGCTGCCAATCGTGAGTGATCTGTCAGCCACACCTCTCCATGGCAATAACACAAATCAGCCGCACATAACCGCTGCCCACCTGGCTGACTCTAGCCGCCTGCCGTTCGAACGGGTTGTCCGCCAACTGTGAGCCATCATGCAGCCGACTGGATTGCCCAAGCCTCTGGCTCTCGGCTCGCAGCTCCAATATCTTGCTCCTGAAGACCGGGGAAACGAGGAATTGGATTAAATGAAGCTAATGAAACGTGTAATTTTACTCCAACACTCTGCACCTGGCTCTCCGCGCGCAGCTCCATTATCTTGCTCCTGACAGCAGGGGAAACGAGGAAATGGGTTGAAAATACTATAGAATTTTGTAATGTTACTCAAGAAACTTGCATCTGGCTTTCGGCTCGCAGCTCCAATGGGTTGCTCCTGATGGCAGGAAAACGAGAAATTGGATTTAAAATAACTAATGGAAATTGTAACCTCATTCCAACACCTTGCTACTTGCTCATTCGGCGCGCCAAGCCCGACGTCTTGCTCTTAGAGCAGGGGAAGGGGGGATTAGGTCAGAAAAAAGGAGAGCTGAGGGGGGGGGGGGGGGGGTGGGGGTGGGAACCGAACTGCTTACTCGAGTCCGTAATTCAGTGTGCGGAAATCACACGCCTACCTCCTAAGGTACAGCAATGGCGACCTCTCTATAAAGGATGGCAGGAGGTCAGTTAAACGGATTAAACGGAAAACACTCGCTCTATGTGCGTCAGGATCTTCTGGCTGTCTATGGCCTCCATATAGTCAGGCTCGCTATTGTGATTCCAGAAAACACTCACTCTATGTGGGTCAGGATCTTCTGGCTGTCCGGGTGTAGCTCGCTGAACTTGGTATCGAATCCCGCCGGTTGCGGACCCCCTCGACTGGGATCGTTATTCGTCAGCAGATGCGCTTGGCCCTGCTGAATTGCTAGGGTTAACTGCTGCTGCTGTTGCTGCTGTTGTTGCTGTTGTTGTTGCTGCTGTTGCTGCTGTTGCTGCTGCTGTTGAAGGGGTGACGGAGTGCTTGTCGCGGGTGTGCTTAAAGCGGAAGTTTGAGTTCCCGCGGTGGCCAGCGTGGAAGGCTTGAACCCTCCAAACAGCGACATTTCGCCTGAATAATTTGTAATCAATCCGCAAGTCACGAAAAAAAAAACGCAGTATCAGCGAATGTCGTGGCTAAGACCTCTTGCCGCCGATAGATGCGGCGTTCTAGGTTGTTATCGCAAACAGGTGAGCAGGAGGTCCTGCGGAACAGGTGTAGTGTCTAGGAGTATCCATGGCTGGAGTGACGAGTCAGGAGTCAGACATATTTCTTCATTCTTGATTCTGCATTACGACGTCTGGCTTATGTTAGTCAGGGAGCCAGAAATTGACTGATAATGACAAGTCCGCTCTTGTCGTGGATCGCGTTTCCAGCGGTAATAACGACGCTCATGAACTGATCAGAGATAATCTCTAGATCAGGAATGAGAGACCAATCTCAGTGACCCGTTAACGGGTAACATCTCAGCCTTGCTTGAGGCCTGGCCAATCTTATGTGCCCTTTCGTCAGAGGAGGCGAAAACATACGTATTCTTCTCTCAACTTTCGTTCGCATTGCCACTACCCTGGAATAGTTCTGTATTCTGTATCCAGCTTCGTTGAAGTGTTCGTCAAAGGGTTCGTCAGCATTCTGTATCCAGCTTCGTTGAAACTCGGGTGTACAGTACTTACAGCACCAGGGCATCTCAATTGAGAACAATGCTGTGCGATGAGAAGCGGTTTTGCTACTCCCCTCTCAGAACATTGATTGGTACACCCTGCTGGAAACCAACTCCAAAGGACGTCCCTTGATAGTACCTTATCTGAATCGCTTGGTGGTAGCAACTTGATCAGCGGAAGCACTCCCGCCACCACATCCGCTCAAAGCCGTGTTACAAGAGTGCTGCGTGCGAGGAACTGAGTCAGTCGCCGCCATGTCGCGGTTATTCAAGGTAATTTCGCAGAAATTGAGCTTTCCGAGTACTTCTTATCATCCGAGGGGTCGGAGAATCAATTCCGTCAGACCACCCTCCGTCCATCCCTGCTTACTGCCACGTCATCCTTACCACGTCCTCCTTACCCGCGTTCCATTGCGTATCCGTCTCATCTCATCCCTGCGCGCCGATGCTCCAAACAGAAAGAGCAGATCTCGGCGTATCGTGACCGTCGGTTCCGCGGCACGCAGGAGGAGTTCGAGCAGGCGCTGAGGGTGTCTACCACGGTTTACGTGGGTAACTTGTCGTTTTACACCACGGAGGAGCAGATCTACGAGGTGTTTTCCAAGGCGGGGGAAATCCGACGCATTGTAATGGGACTCGATAAGAATACAATGACGCCCTGCGGCTTCTGCTTCGTTGCGTGAGTAACGCCACCTGCTTGAGACGTCATTTGATGAGAGCTGTGCTGTCTCTGATCCTTCCTTCCCACCTCTCCCCCACTTCCTCTCTCCCCTCCATCCATCCTGGTTCATTTCCTCCCCCTTTCCATGCAACTCCCCCCAACCCCCAACCCATCCTTCCCTCAACTCCCTTTCCTCTCCTCTCCCTGTCCCCTGCCCCCTCCACCTATCGCCTCCTCTTCTCGCTTCTTCCTCCCTCCTGCTCCCATTCTGCCTCCTCCGTTAACACTCTTCTTTTTTTGCCTTTTCGCAGTCTCGGTACCATGCAAGCGAGACAGCACACAATTCACCCCCCTTTTTCTCCCTTTTGTCTGTTTCTGGTGCAGGTACTATGTGAGGGAGGACGCGGAGGACGCGGTGAAATACGTCAGCAGCACGATTCTGGACGACCGGCCAATCAGAGTGGACTTTGACTGGGGCTACGAGGATGGGCGGCAGTGGGGGCGGGGGAGGAGCGGCGGGCAAGTCAGGGACGAATACCGCACCGATTATGACCCAGATATGTGCCTCTCTCGCCTCTATCCGTCACATCTCTCCCTCCCCTCTCCCTCGTCTTTATGGTGGGCGGGGACAGAGCGGATGGCAAGTCAGGGACGAATACCGGACCGACTACGACCCAGATATGTGCCTCTCTCGCCTTTCGTTCGCCTCTCTTGCTTGCATCCCTCTCACCTTGATGGGCGGGGGAGGAGTGGAGGGCAAGTCAGGGACGAATACCGCACCGACTATGACCCAGATTTGTGCCTCTCTCGCCCAATTACTAGCTTTGTGTGCGTGTTAGTTGGTGCGTGCCTATGAAGGGGGGGCCGGGGGAGGAGCGGCGGGCAAGTCAGGGACGAATACCGAACCGACTGTGACCCAGATATGTGCCTCTCTCGCCCCGTTGCTAGCTTTATGTGCGTGTTAGTTACGGCATGCCTGTAAAGGTGGGGGGGGGGGGGGGCGGGGGAGGAGTGGAGGGCAAGTCAGGGACGAATACCGGACCGACTATGACCCAGATATGTGCCTCTTTTGCCCTGTTACTAGCTTTATGTGCTCTTGGTGGCAAGCTAGTACAGAAGGAGGTAGCAGCCATTTAGCAGTACGGCACTCCGCTCTTCATGCCAGCGCGGGGCGGTGGGCAGTCACTCTGCCTGTGCTGTGCATGCCCATGCTTGCTCCCCTGCTGCCTTCCCTCTTCCCCTCCCCACCCCTCCCTTCCCTCTTCCCCTCCCCACCCCTCCCTTCCCTCTTCCCCTCCCCACCCCTCCCTTCCCTCTTCCCCTCCCCACCCCTCCCTTCCCTCTTCCCCTCCCCACCCCTCCCTTCCCTCTTCCCCTCCCCACCCCTCCCTTCCCTCTTCCCCTCCCCACCCCTCCCTTCCCTCTTCCCCTCCCCACCCCTCCCTTCCCTCTTCCCCTCCCCACCCCTCCCTTCCCTCTTCCCCTCCCCACCCCTCCCTTCCCTCTTCCCCTCCCCACCCCTCCCTTCCCTCTTCCCCTCCCCACCCCTCCCTTCCCTCCTCTTCCCTTCCCTCCCTTCCACTCCTCCTTCCTCCTTCCTCCTTCGTCCTTCGTCCTTTCCCTTTGTGCTCTCCACCCTCCTTTCTCTCCCCTACTGCATGACGAGGGGGGTACGGCAAGCTACTGCACCCTGCCATCCAGCAGTACGGAGCTTCATTGTCCCCCTGCCCTCCCCCCTCTCCTTCTGTGCGCTCCCTCCCCTTCGATTCCCTTCCTCTCTTGCACCGCGAGGGGGCTACGGCAAGTTAGTACAGAAGGAAATAGCGGCCATTCAGCAGTGCGGGGCATGATTGTCCCCCCTGCCGCCCCCCCGCATCCCTTCCCCTCCATCTCCTCCCCTACTGCACGGCGAGGAGGATACGGCAAGCTAGTACAGAAGGAGATAGCGGCCATTCAGCAGTACTGAGTGCCGCTTTTCATGCCGGGAGAGGGGGGCTCAGCCGATTTGTGCTGTGTATGCCCATGATCGTTCCCGTGCCCTTCCCCTCTTCCCCTCCCTTCTGCCCCTCCCTGCTTCCCTACTGCACAGAGAGGAGGCTACGGCAAGCTAGTACAGAAGGAGATAGCGGCCATTCAGCAGTACTGAGCGCCACTCTTCATGCCTGGAGGGGTTGGGGGGCAGTCCCCTCTGTGCTGTGCAGTGTGCATGCCCATGATTCTTCCCCCTTGGACTTTCCTCTCTCCCTTTGTGTGCTCCCTACCCTCTCTTCTTTTCCTCCCTGCATGGCGAGGGGGCTACGGCAAGCTAGTACAGAAGGAGATAGTGGCCATTCAGCAGTACGGAGCGGCGCTCGTCATGCCGGGAGAGGGGGGGAGTCCCCTCTGTGCTGTGGATGCCCATGATTCTTCCCCCTGCGCTTCCCTTTCTCCCTATGTGCGCCCCTTCCCCTCCCCTCCCCTACTGCACGGCGAGGAGGCTACGGCAAGCTGGTACAGAAGGAGATAGCGGCCATTCAGCAGTACGGAGCGCCGCTCTTCATGCCGGGAGAGGGGGGGAGCCCGGGAGGCATGCCCCCCTCCTTTGGCCACTCGCCCTCTGTGCCCCGCCAGCCCATGAGCCACCGCATGCAGCAGCGACTGGGCAATCAGCAGGGGCCCCGTGAGTAATCAGTGCATGTGCAAGGCACCATACATAAGCATAGGTATGCCCCTGAAGGGGGTGGTCATTCCCCCTCCTTTGGCCACTCGCCCTCGGTGCCCCGCCAGCCCATGAGCCACCGCATGCAGCAGCGACTGGGGAACCAACAGGGACCCAGTGAGTGGCGTTGACTTGACTTGCACCTTTGCTCGTTGCACTCACCCCCTGCACCACCATGCATGCCCCTTGGTGGGTGGGAGGAGGGATGGTAATTCCCCCTTCTTTGGCCACTCGCCCTCTGTGCCCCGCCAGCCCATGAGCCAGCGCATGCAGCAACGACTGGGGAACCAGCGGGGACCCCGTGAGTGCCTGAAAGGCCATGCACCTAACACAGACAGACCACATGACCATACATTCTTTTAAAAGGAGGGGGTGGGAGTTCTTCCCTCCTTCATCCACTTGCCCTCGGTGCGGCGACAACCCATGAGCCACCGCATGGGCCAGTGACTGGGGAACCAGCCGGGACCAAGTGAGTCATACAAGCATGTGCAAGCCAAGCCACGTGCAAGCCAAGCCACGTGCAAGCCAAGCCACGTGCAAGCCAAGCCACGTGCAAGCCAAGCCATGTGCAAGCCACCGTACATGCATAGCGTTGCCTACACTCGCAAACATGAGCAGACAGCCGCCTCTCTCGCCCTCTGTGCTCCGATAGCCCATGTGCCACCACATGGCCTAGCGACATGTATTTTGAGACGTCTCAAAATACAACTTTTATCACGTCTCTCTCGCCCTCTGTGCTCCGATAGCCCATGCGCCACCACATGGCCTAGCGACATGTATTTTGAGACGTCTCAAAATACAACTTTTATCACGTCTCTCTCGCCCTCTGTGCTCCGATAGCCCATGTGCCACCATATGGCCTAGCGACTTGTCATCCCCCTCTCCTATTACCACTCCCCCCCATCCTCCCTTTTCCCCCCATTTTTACTCCTCCATAATCCCACTCTGCTTGTCTCCTCTCCATTTTATCTGTTTCCTCTCCCCCTCTCTCGGCTGTCACTCATTATTCTCGCTCTCACTCCATCTCACTCCATCTCATTCCATCTCCCCAATTGTGTCTGTCTGTCCCTCTCAGGGAGGGCCCAGCGTTACTCAAGGGATGACAGGCAGCGGGGCGGCTACAGAGGTAAGCAGCTCTGTTTATAAAGTGTATCACTGTAAGTATGTAATCATGACATGTGATAAGTGTGATGGGAGAATTATCACACCGACCGACAGACACTACAGAGGCTATTACTCATGACCACTTTTCCCTCCCCTTCTCGCTCCTAATCGCAGATGGAGGTGGGGGAGGAGGAGGCGGTGGGATGCGGAAGAGAGGGAGAGACGACGACGAGCAGATGGAAGAAGCGGGGAGGGAGGAACGGAGGGGCAGGGAGGAGGGAGGAGAGAGGCGAGGAGGGGGCAGGGACGGGGGTGGGCGGGCGCGATATGAGGAGAGAAGAGGGGAAGGAGGGGAGGGGAGAGGTGGTAGGGAGGGAGGGGCAGGAGGGGGAGGAGAAGGAGGTAAGGGAGGAGGGGGAGGAGAGGGTGGGGCAGAAGGGGTTGCTGACGACCAAAAGGTGAGACAATTGAAAATTATCTCTCCCTTTTTCTTCAGTCACCACGGTCTCACTCGATTCTGAAACAACCCTAAATGCATCGGAATCTGCTTGTGTGGTGGTTGTGTGCAGAAGAACCCGAGGTTCAGGGAGAGGGGGGATGATTCGGACGACGAGGGGGACAAGGCATGAGCGTCACATGGCGCTTCTTGTAACGGACAGGAGGACGTCTAAGCTGGTTTGATTCGGTTTGTGAGGCGCCTCATAAGTCAAATTTTGAGGCTCCTTTGAAGTCGCGGCACTCAATGTATGTATGCCAAAGCTGGAAACTTTGGTGTGGATCATGTGTAAAAGTAAAAGATGTGAGGGGGGTCAGAGATGCCTTCCAGTTCCGGACAAATGTATGGATTTTCCCGTGACGAACTTGACAACCAACAACAGCCTCTTTCTACAAGATTTGAGTAACTGCAACAAATCCCTGCAAAGTGGTCTGGCTAGCCTGCTTGATCCCCGCTCTTGGGTCACTGAATCTCTTTGGGTACTACAGTAGAGGCGCCTTAATGAAGAATGTCGGTAGCTGTGAAGAATGTCGGTAGCTGTGAAGCCTTGCAAATCACTTGAGTAGCTCCTTCCTTACTGCAGCCAGAGCTACTGATACACCATCCTGAGCAGCACAGCAGCACAGCGGCACAGCGGCACACACACACACACACACACACACACACACACACAGCATTGCAGTATGGCAGCACGGCAGCATGGCCGCACGGGAGCACAGCAGCACGGCAGCATGGCAGCACGGCAGCATGGCAGCACGGCAGCACACACCCGCAGCATAGAGGGTCGCATTATCATGCCAGTATCTGTGGCACCCATGTGATTTTTTACTCAATCATGAAATTGTCAACCAAGTGTCACCCTAGAGACACACAAGCATCACTCCCAAGAATCAACCGTCAGTCATCCAAGAGACGCACCTCTGTCTGTATCTCTCGTGATAGCTCCTGTGCGCGCTCCCTCATGCCCACACCCAATGCAGCAGCGAAGCGACTCACGACGGTTGCTACTGCTGGGACAGATATGGTATCAGAGGCAGAAAGGTGAACAGGTGATGGGGCAAAACGAGAAACATGTAGAGCAAAATGCAGAATAAAGAACGTGAGGTGTGTGCAGAACAGTGAGATGCACAATATATGAAGTGTGACCAGCTAAATGGGCAGAGAGTGTTTTGAGACGTCTCAAAACAAGAGATGTACAATATATGAAGTGTGGCCAGCTAAATGGGCAGAGAGACATGGTCCATCACATCAAATGTGATGAACGCTGGAGATGTGATATACGAATACAACAAGGAAAGGGTGATCGCACAGGTGCAACATTTTTTAGGCGCCTCGAAAGGGTGATCGCATGGGTGCAACATTGACGTAGCCGAGGCGGTGAGCCCAGTAGCTCTGGTCCTAGAGGAGCTGGGATGAGCAGAGTGCAGTGCTTACCCTCACGTGTAATGAGTCGCTTTTTGAGTCAACTCAAAAACCGAGGCGGTGAGCCCAGTAGCGCTGGTCCTAGAGGAGCTGGGGCGAGCAGAGTGCAGTGCTTACCCTCGCGTGTAAAGAGCTGGGGCGAGCAGAGTGCAGTGCTTACCCTCACGTGTAAAGAGCTGGGGCGAGCAGAGTGCAGTGCTTACCCTCGCGTGTAAAGAGCTGGGGCGAGCAGAGTGCAGTGCTTACCCTCACGTGTAAAGAGCTGGGGCGAGCAGAGTGCAGCGCTTACCCTCACGTCCCACACCCTCTACAAGCAGTCACGCACCTGTTGTTTGGTGTGCAGAGTCAGCAGGCATGAGGTCCGATGGGCGGAGAGGAGGGGGGGCGACCCCAAGGTAGCAGAGGCGGTGAGCCCAGTAGTGCTGGTCGAGAATGAAAGGAGGGGCAGGGAAGCTGAGGGGGAAATTAACCGGCTAGGCAATCATTCTCACCTGGTGAATGGTGCGCCGACTCTACAGGCATGAGGTCAGACGGGCGGAGAGGAGGGGGGGCGACCCCAAGGTAGCAGAGGCGGTGAGCCCAGTAGTGCTGGTCGAGAATGAAGGGGCAGAGGAGCTGGGGCACGCCTGCTCGCAGTGCTGCTGCCGTGGTGCCGCTGATCGGGGTGCATACACAGATCGGGGCAGACAGATAAGTTGAGATGGGTGCAGGGGGATGCAGACATGCAGGCAAAGGGACGGAGGGAGGGACCTGGTCTGCCCAGTAGTGCTGGTCGAGGATGAAGGGGCAGAGGAGCTGAGGGATGCCTGCCCGCAGTGCTGCTGCTGTGGTGCCGCTGATGGGTGCAGGTGGGTGGAGATGGGTGCATGGGGCTGCGTGAAGGTACAGATATGGGCATTGGGGGGGTGAAGGGGATGAAGGGACCGACGGGCTAGGGCACCCCTGCTCGCAGTGCTGCTGCTGTGGTGGCGCTGATGGGTGCAGATGGGTGCATGGTTATGCATGCGGGTGTATGGGGTTGCATGAGGATGCACGGGGGTGTAGGGGAGTGTAGGGGGGTGCATAGGGGTGCATGTGGGTGCATGGGCGGGTGGAGTGTATGGGTGTGCAGAGGCGAAAATGAAGGGCAGAAGGACAGCATGCCAAGCAACACGGACGCATGGTGACCGCCAGCCAACTGCAGAAATGCCCGATATCATCCGTTCTCCACCCCTCCCCCACCGCTCCCCCACAATCCTCCTCCCTCCCGTCCCCCACCCCTCCCCCACCCCTCCTCCATCCCTCCCCCCTTCCCATCCCCCACAACCCCATGCCACCCACCTGCCGGCATGGTGCAGCACAAAGCAGCAGCGGGGGAAGAGCCACTCGTGAGAGACAGGGCTGGAAATGCGTGAAGGGGGGAATGGTACATAGCATCAAGACAGTATAGGAGACTTGAGACACCTCAACGCAACCTGACATTCATGTAGAGCGGTCAGAATGTATCAAAATAGCATGTAGCCTACACTTCAACAGTAGTTGTGTTTTAATTTTGTTGCTTAAGAAATCACAACAGACAAACCGTGACGTGAATAGTCTGTCTGTTGTGAGACAGATGGAACACGAAAACACAACAGCATCGTTCAATCTGAGTCGACACATGTGACAAGCAAAGATGATTCTGAGGTGCTTTCGCCTTGGAAGGCATGTGACAAAGAAAAGAGGAACAAGGTATCGACTCACCCCCGAAGGGCAAGGACCATCCCACCCGCAAACATCCTGGGAAGGCCGAGAGGCAAGAGCGGTGAGGTTGACAATTGGGGTGGTGCTGGTTGGGATGGTCGCTGGGACAACAGCCACCGTTTCTCATCCACTGACAGCATTTCGCCTCTGCCCCTTGCAACCAAATCTGCTGCTCTTTTTCGCCACTCCTCCTCTTGCTCCTGCACGTGCTGCTTTTCGTCCCTGCACACTGCAGCGACTGCCTCCTCCAATGCGCTGTCGCCACTTGTCACGACCACGGCTCGCAGGTTGAGGGCTTCAGCTGCGGCAATGATGGTGGCGAGGAGCAACGCAGGGCGGGGGAGAAGACCCATGCTGTTATGGGAGGGACAGAAGGAGTGGAGGGGGGCTTGTAAATTGAGGTTAGCTGCGGGGATGATGGTGGACAGGAGCAAAGCAGGGTGGCACGCGCCAAGGGCAAGAGGTCGGATCAGGTTCCTAAGGACCCGCAGCAGGAGCTGAGCAGGCCACGGAAGGGGGCAAGGAGACCCATAACATTCAAAAACCGTGCAAGGACGGTCTGAAGGACAATACACAAGAACAGCGTCTGAAGGACAATACACAAGAACAGCGTCTGAAGGACAATACACAAGAACAGCGTCTGAAGGACAATACACAAGAACAGCGTCTGAAGGACAATACACAAGAACAGCGTCTGAAGGACAATACACAAGAACAGCGTCTGAAGGACAATACACAAGAACAGCGTCTGAAGGACAATACACAAGAACAGCGTCTGAGGAAGACAGAACGCCTCCGCGGTCATCTTCACCATGAGCACACCTGGGGCAGCAGAGGACAGAATGAGAAGGAGAAGGATGGGGCAAGAAAACTTCGACAGCTGTCGTGCAATTCTGTACTTGACGGCAGAGATATGCGCGAATAATTGCATTAGAGTGTAGCCGAGAACAGTATCGAGCACAGCCATAAGGGAGCGAGCCTGAGGCAAGAGGCACGAGGCGGACTTGATGGCCAGGGAGAGGGTCGGAAGCAACTCAACGGAGGTGGGACAAGGCGAGAGTTAGACGAGAACAGCAGAGCCTCATGCAGGCGAGGCGCAAGCGCGGGTGACCTGGGGAGGGAAGGGGCCAGCTGGCTGAAGATGGGCGTGTGGGGGATCCAGAGTATGAAGAGTGGAGATTTTCTCCTGTACATAGGTAGGTTGTGAGTCCTTGATTTCGTGTGCTATGTCGGAATGAGAGCAAGAGCTAGCGCAGGAGTAGAGCGAGACCCTCGTCTCGTTCAATCATTCGGACCCTAGGTTGCTATTTACAAGGTGCATCCTGCCTAGGGTCGGGATTGAATGAGACGAGAGTCTCGCTCTACTCCTGCGCTAGCTCTTACTCTCATTCACATGCATCCGACATAGCACACAAAATCAAAGACCCACAACCTACCTATTTACAAGAGAGAATCTCCACTCTTCATACTCTGGATCCCCCACACGCCCATCTTCAGCCAGCTGGCCCCTTCCCTCCCCAGGTCACCCGCGCTTGCGCCTCGCCTGCATGAGGCGCTGCTGTTCTCGTCTAACTCTCGCCTTGTCCCACCTCCGTTGAGTTGCTTCCGACCCTCTCCCTGGCCATCAAGTCCGCCTCGTGCCTCCTGCCTCCTGCCTCCTGCCTCAGGCTAGATCCCTTATGGCTGTGCTCGATACTGTTCTCGGCTACACTCCAATGCAATTATACTGTCTCGCATATCTATGCTGTCAAGTATAGAAATGCGCGACAAGCATCGTCGGCACGAGGAATAATAACTGAGTTGGACTTTAGTTCCGCAATCCCAAACTAAGTACGGAGGACATTAACTATAAGCTTAACCGCATAGGTGACTATGGGGAAACTAACTACCCTGTCCCCGTTCCCCTCTCCAATGCCCACCTGTCCATACGTAGAGCTGAAGCTCGCATAGAACACATCGCTCTGGTGGTGGTGCCGTGCCTGACATGAAAGCATACGGTGAGTGAATGCGGCTAGCTATGGTACAACGTACCCCATCTCTATTGCTCCCTGCACCACCCACCTGCCCATCACCCACCTGCCCATGGAACTGAAGCCCACATAGAACACATTGTTCTGGCTACGCGGTACGCCCAGCACGCGAGGAGGGTGGAAGTACTGGTAGAGCAGCTGCAGAGACAGAAGAGTGAGAATGGGAGAGGGGTATGGGAGCGGAGATGCATCGGGGTGATTTTTTAGTCGACTCAAACGTCACCACATTTCGCTGGCAATGAGGAGGGAGGAAGTACTGGAAGAGCAGCTAAGAGTGAGAATGGGAGAGGGGTATGGGAGCGGAGATGCATCGGGAAAGCAACAGGATGGATGAAAAATAGGAAAGCAGGCCGTGAGGAGCCGTTGAAACTCCAAGTCTTCACCTTAAATAGATTGCATGTTCTTAAGAGGTGGCTTTTACTCATGAGGTGGCTTTTACTCATCAAATAATAGACGAGCCGATTTAGCGCTGCGGAACCTAAAACTGGGTCGCTAGAGAAACAGAAATCCCCCATCCCCTCCCCTCGCCCCCCTCCAGCCTACCCCCCCCCCCCTCCCTCCCAAAAGAAAAGCAAACAAACAGACAAACGAAACCCGGAGATATACATCGTTGGCAGCATTGCAGTTGGAACGCCTTACCATCTCTTCGGTACTGTCAGAGGCAATATGATTCCTCAACGGAACTCGCATTCTGGCTTCCATTTCCAGCGCTTCTGATGCTGCTGCTGGTGCCGTTGTTGCTCCTGCGGCTGCTGCCGCTGCTGCCTCGGTTGCTGCTGTTGCTGGGACTGCAGGAGGCAAATCTAATGGAAGGCCCTGGTGTGGTGGAGGGAACCAGAAACCACAGACCTTGATAGATGCACGCCAGTACGCTGCAAGGGAGGGGGGGTGGAGGGAGGGGCGGGGGAGGAGGGGAGCGGGGGGCGGACAGTGGGAGGAGGAGGAGGGGGGTCCAGTTATGAGGAGCCTCGAAAATAGACCTTGATAGATGAACGCCAGGACACTGCAGGAGTCGTCTTGTTTTGAGGCGCCTCATAACAAGACTCATGAGGAGCCTCGAAAATAGACCTTGATAGATGAACGCCAGTACGCTGCAGGAGTCGTCTTGTTTTGAGGCGCCTCATAACAAGACTCATGAGGAGCCTCGAAAATAGACCTTGACAGATGAACGCCAGTATGCTGCAGGAGGAGGGAGCGGCTGGAGGGGGTGGTTCTTGAGCGACTATTCTTTCCTCAACGAACAAATTCGAGTGGCGGAGTGATTATTTCCGGGAGCCTTATTGCCTCTGATAGTAGTGACTCAAAACACCTGTGTGACTGTTGACATGGCATGGCAGGCATAGCATATTCACATGGGCACTCGACAACAGCCGGGCTGTATGGGAATCACTTTTGAGAATTCTCAAAACGTTGCCATGCTGTGAGTGTTGAGTTGGCATGGCATGTATAGCATACTCACATGGGCACTCGACAAACTTTTGAGTCGACTCAAAAGTGAGCCCAAAACCTTTCCATGCTGTGAGTGTTGACATGGTATGGTATGGGATGGCCTGGCATGCATACTCACATGGGCACTCGACAACAGCCGGGCTGAAGCCATACCTGATAGGATGAGGGCATCAGGAGGGAAGGAGGGAAGGAGGGAACGAGGGAAAGAGCGAAGGTGAGAAAAAAGGAGGGCAGGGAAAGACGAGAGACAGTGACTGCATCAGAAGGTATAATGCTGGTGTTGCCATTTACTGTAAAGATTTCTACCGGGAGAGGTGGGCCATGGAGTTTTCACACGTTTCAGCACAAAATGGAAGTCAGCTATATTGGTGCGACTTTTGAGAATTCTCAAAAGCCCTAACGGGAGAGGTGGGCCAAGGAGTTTTCACTCGTTTCAGAACAAGCTGGAAGTCCCGGCCTTGTCTACATTTATACGAATATATCATAAAGAATGTATAAGAGATGGAAACTTATATGTTGGTTCGCATACGTACAGCAAGGGTGTGGGCGCAGGCCATTCGTGGGTCGGCTCATCTGTTACCGGATCCTGCACACGTGCAAAGATTGCGGGTTAAGAGACGACTTTTGCGGCACCTCAAAAGTCGCTGCATACTGGACCCGGCACTGCACAGGTGCAAAGTGCAAGGTGACTTTTGAGTCGACTCAAAAGGCGCCTCAGAAGTCGCTGCATACCGGACCCTGCACTGCACAGGTGACTTTTGAGGCCCCTCAGAAGTCTTTTGCGGCGCCTCAAAAGTCGCTGCATACTGGAACCTGCATTGCACTGCACAGGTGCAAAGTGCGGCGATGTTTCAGGAACCTCAAAACTCCTCAAAAGACGGTCTAGCTGAGCCCTGTACGAAAGAAGTACACACGACAATAGCAGTGTGTGCTAAATCACTCAGGAAAACGAGACAGGAGGGGAGGGCGCGGGGAGGGGAGGGGGAAGTGGTGGGGGAGGGGGAGAGGGGGGAGGAGGAGCGGGGAGGGGAGGGGGGAGGGGAGAGGAGGGGGGGAGGGGGAGGGGTGGCATGAACATGAAGTTCTAGAGGACCTAAAGGCATAAACATGAAGTTCTAGAGGACCTAAAGGCGTAAACATGAAGTTCTAGAGGACCTAAAGGCGTAAACATGAAGTTCTAGAGGACCTAAAGGCGTAAACATGAGGTTCTAGAGGACCTAAAGGCATCCTGAAGGATGTGGGAGGAGGACAAACCAGGAGAGCGCAGGGAGGAAGGCACAGAGAAGCTTCCCTCCACCGTGCCCACCGGTGGCAGGGGAAGAGCAGCGGCCACATCCATTCTGACACCTCCGCCCATGATAGCTGGGAGAGGGGGATGAGGGATGGGTGGTAGGGGGGGGAATGGGGAGGTGGGGAAAGAAGCGGGGGAGGGAGGGAGGGAGGGAGGGCACGGGGGCACATGAGGGCATGGGGGCATATGAGGGCATGGGGGCATATGAGGGCACGGGGGCATATGAGGGCAGGGGAGGAGGCAAGAAGGTAGGGGGGCATAGAAGGAGAGTAAGAAGCAGCCACATCCACCTCGTGTGGGCTGACTGACTGCTTGCTGCAACCGGCGGAAAAGGGACGGGTGGCTGCGGCAAAGAGCGAATCAACTTTTGAGTCGACTCAAAAGCCACCTTCACACTCACCTCGTGTGGGCTAACTGCTCGTTGCAACCGGCGGAAAAGGGACGGGTGGCTGCGAGCAAAGAGCGAAGGGAACTGGTGGGGAGGCCTGTAGGGATCAGGGGGGGGGGGGGAATGAGATGCGAAGTGAGAACAGGGCAAACCGCACAGAACAGGACGTGGGAAGTGAGATGGGCAACGGTCGTGGCAACTACGAGACGGGTGAGAGATTCAGTGTGCTTCTCTCTCTGACCTGTAAGGCATGACGTAGGGCGCAGCAGCCATGCACTTGACTTCGAAATGTTCCGCTATGTGCCATGCTTCCTGCAGGCACCACAGGCAAGAGGAATACGGGCACGTGGAACACAACACAACACAACAGAGCCCAAACATCAAAGAAATCACAGAGAGTTCATGTCAGGTCAGGCTTACCGACGCACACCAAAGGGCATGTGGGATTATACTGCAATGGTGACCATTGAGTCGACTCAAAATGAGGTGCCTTTTAGCCGACTCAAAATGAGGTGACTTTTGAGTCGACTCAAAAGTCGCATGTGGGATGATACTGCAATGGCACGGAGAGTTTATTCATGGCACGGCCTGAACTCCCAGACTTGCAGGCGGAGCTGATGGGAGCAGTGCTGGTGGGTGGAAAGGAAGGAGCAGAGCACCTTACAAGGGCAAACAGGTTAAAGACTATAAGCTTGTGTGTCTCTTGCGGCTGCTCGTCACCCATGCTGCTCAGGCTGCTGCCACCTTGTTCCTCCAGCCCCTTCGTCCCTTCTGCATCATCCGCCTCTTCCGCCCCCTCCGCCCCCTCCGCCCCCTTCGTCCCCTCTGCCCCGTCACAAGCTTCCAGGCACTTCTTAATGGCTTCAAAGCATTCCCTGCGATGACGTCCCTCCTCCTCTTCTCCCCACCCCTCCTCCTCTTCTCCCCACCCCTCCTCTTCGTCATCGTTTGTATCCCCCCCTTCGTTCTCCTCTTCATTTCCTTCACTCAAGCGAATGATCCTCCTCCGCTTTCTCCCCTTTCCCTGGTCAATCTCCCCTCCCTCCTTCGCCTCCCCTCGCTCCCCTTCCCCTTCGCCTTCCCCAATCCCTTCTCCCTTCCCTACTTCCCCTAAACCCTCTCCCTCCTCTCTCATTTCTAACGGTTCTCCACTCCTCCTTTCCTGTTCTGCTTTCTCCTCTGTCATCTCCTTGCCCTCTCGTTTCTTGAAGGCAGGAGAAGAAACTCCCACAAAGCCCACTCCGTGTGCGGTTAGGCTCGGCCCAAGGCTGCGCTGCCGGTAAGGCACGGAACACCAGAGAAGAAAAGGGGAGTGGAACAACGGAATCTTTATTTGCCTGAAACGTATGCGACACATTGAAGAAGTGTACATGATACTTCACAGACCTCGAGAAACAGTAACAGAGACCAGAAGAGGAAACAGGGACCTGAAGAGGAAACAGAGACCTGAAGAGGAAACAGAGACCTGAAGAGGAAACAGAGACCTGAAGAGGAAACAGAGACCTGAAGAGGAAATAGAGACCTGAAGAGGAAACAGAGACCTGAAGAGGAAACCACACCTGGTGCTCGTGATGAGTCACAAACCACACTGCCATCGACGTTTCTCTCCTCCTCCTTCCCCTGACCTCTTTTCCCCCGTAACCTCCACGCTTTTCCCCCTCTCCCTCCCATCCCTCCTCCCCCTCTTCTCCTGCACCCTTTCCTATCACATCTTTGACCCCCTGTGCGGCGAGTGCTGATGCTAGCACCTACACAGAGCGGGAATGAATGTGGGGGAATAAGGTGAAAGGGGGGGAAGGAGAATTGCGCCTTACAAACGCTAGCACCTACACGGAGCGGGAATGAAAGTGGGGGAATGGGGTGCAAGAGAGGGGGAGGAGGCGGTTAAGGGTATTTGAGGGAAGGGGGGAAGGTACGGAAAGGCGAGAAGAGGGAGAGGCGAGGAGGGGGAAAAGCGAAGAGGGGGAAAGGCGAGGAGGGGGAAAGGCGAGGAAAGCGAGGAGGGGGAGAAGCGAGGAAAGCGAGGAGGGGGAGGGTCGCGCAGGGAAAAGGCGAGGAGGAAAGACGAAGGGGGAAGGCGGGGAGGGAAGCGAGGAGGGGCTAAGACGAGGAGGGGCTAAGACGAGGAGGGGCTAAGACGAGGAGGGGCTAAGACGAGGAGGGGCTAAGACGAGGAGGAAGAGTCTACCGCAAGTGGCTGCACGTCCCCTCGCGTGCCGAACGCGACCAACACCACAGTCGCGCGGGTGACTAGTCGGCGGCGATCCTGCTCCATACGCGTTATAACGACGGCCGATACGCTACGCTGTCACGGTTAGCAGCGCGGGCCCTCGCTACCGCTCCAATCGAGAAGGCCCTGTATGCCTGCAATCCGTTGCGCCGTCTTGAAGGCTTTTTTTAGAATTCCCTACAACGAAGGCCCTGTATGCCTGCAATCCGTTGCGCCGTCTCGACGATTCGCGACGTCACATCGATGGTTCGTTAAGTCACCCCGAGTCGGCACGAAGTCACTGCGGTGGGTGATGCTGCATTGTGCTTCAGAGAGAGAGGGGTCAGTCAAACGCGCCCCTAAGGCCAGCGTACACCGCTACTCGCAAATGTCCATTTTGCGCCTACCTGACAGCAAGCTCCGTCAACTAGCCGTTAAACAAAACGCCAAGACGCCTAGCGCCGCGGGTGAAGGAACGACGATTAGAGGAATGCGACATCCTTTCACGAGGAACAAAAAACTGGAAGGGAGGAGAAAAAAGTGGAGAAGTGGGGTATCGATCCCCATACCTCTCGCATGCTAAGCGAGCGCTCTACCATCTGAGCTACATCCCCGATGCCACAGCACAGTTGGATGTAATTATGTTCTTAAACCTACTGAGCTTTTTTCCAAACTCTGCCACCAAAAATGTTCACAAGAAGCAGCTGCTTCTGAAGATAGCCAACCTGCACAGGCAAGACAGAAACGGTAAAATTGGCATTATTGGAATATAGATATGTAAGGTCCATGCACATAGCTCCAACTTCCAGCTCACATGCAACCCTTCACATCAATCACCTCACCCCACCACACACACCTTGTCAAGCAGGGAGGGAGCTCACATCCCTCATCGCAGCAGGACCGGACCCGGTAGGTGTTCCCATGCGCCTAGACGCCTGCACACAAATGCTAACACATTTCTCCAATTCCCCCTACATATCAATCGCCACATACCTTGTCAAGCAGGAAGCTCAAGTCCTGTATCCCAGCAGGGCTGGCAGGTGCGCCCCTGCGCCTAGACGCCTGCAACCGGCAAGCTTCGAGGGCCTTTCTCAGGTCGTCCTGCAAAAGAGTAAGGAAAACGGATATGGGAAGGAGGGAGGATTGGAGTGGAAGAAAAATGAACATGGGAAGGAGGATTTCGTCAGCTTTTCCTACCAAAGATGAAGCGTAACGGGCACGAGAGGGAGGAGGTGACTTTTTTAGTCGACTCAAAACAATTTCCTCAGCTTGTCCTGCCAGAGATAAAGCAACAAAGGCACGCGAGGGAGGCGGACTCGAAAGAAAATACCAACGGGTCAGAAGAGGGGTAAGAGGACGGACTGGAGATTAAAACTCGAGACTCACCTGTGCTCTTGCATTCTGCATGCATCCTGTTGCAGCCTCTGCCACCATCTCTCCATGTGCCAACTCTCCGATAGAAGAGAAACGAGCCTGTTGGGATTTTGAGAGGTCCCAAGACTACAGCACTCACCTGTGCCCTTGCATACTGCATGTGTATTGATGCAGCCCCTGCCACCATCTCTCCATGTGCCACCTCTCCGGTACACGAGAAATGAACCTGATGGTAAGGGGGAAGATGTCTTAGAACTTTAAAAACCTCGTTACGATGGAAAAACGACCCTGGCAGTTAGCACCGCGGAGCACACTACGTTTCGCAGGTCTTACATCTATTAACCATATGCTTACAGATATACATGTGTATATGTGTAAAACGAAAACAAAAAACAGACATACTGATTGCAGCAGCAGGTGTGACATGAGGCAGCTGTCCGCCCCACAGGCCTCTGTAGTACTACTGTAGACAACGCAGACACCAGCCGTTGAGACACATGACGATCACGCAGTGAACATAATTAAAACAAAACGGTCTGGTGGTCTTACTGATTGCAGCAGCAGGTGTGACATGAGCCAGCTGTCCGCCCCACAGGCCTCCGTGGCCCCCACTGCTGCTGCACTCAACCGCTCACACGCTGATGCCCACCGGTAGAAGGCCGGGAGAGGGAAGGAGAGAGCTGGAGAGAGGGTGGTAGTTAAAGCAGTTGCCGTTGATGATGCTTCTGCTTCTAATGGTGCTTCTGCTTCTTCTGCTGCTGCTGCCATTGAAGCTGCTACAGTGAGAACCACACTGCTAGCAGGGATGAATTAGACACGACTTTGGTCGGCAACATGGAGAGCTCAGAGCAAGGTTACTTCTCAGTCGACTCAAAATTCAAGAACCGGAGGAAGCAGGGTTTGGAACCACAAGCAAGCAGGAAGTGGTGAGACTCCAGCATCATGGGCCGCTCACAGATAAAAACAACACTACAAGGTGCATGGGCCATGAAAGGTGCACGCAGGCAGAAATCCCCACCATGAGGAAAAAAGGCTAGCCAAAATGGGATGGGATGGGAGGTTTGAGTACACTGCAAGTGGAGGGACGATGTCAATTGGGATCGAGAAACCAAGATAGACGAAAAGCACATACCTTTCAACATCTGGCTCTTGCTCCTCTAGATCTCCTTTTTCCCCTTGCTCATCTGGACCGCACAGCCCATGCAGAGTGAAGGTGACATGCGGCAGCAGCAGGCTGACATACGGCACAGCGTGCACAAAGGCGGTGCAGGAGTGCACGAGTCCATTATCGTTCCCCTTACCCCAGCCGTGCATGCATGCTGCACAGGAGTGCAGGCGCCCTATATGGTGGTCCTTCTCCCCACCCCTGCCACCCCTCTCGTCTGTCAAAACTCTGTGCTCATCTGGGCTCCCCTCATCCCCCCCATACCACTCGATACCTCTTCCATCCTCATCATTTGCTCCTTTGGTATCATCTCCTTCCTTGCCCCCGTCTGCTTCCTCTTCCTCCTCTTCTTCCTCCTCCTCTTCCTCCTCCCCCTCCTCCTCCTCCTCCTCCTCCTCCTCCTCCTCCTCCTCCTCCTCCTCCTCCTCCTCCTCCTCCTCCTCCTCCTCCTCATCCTCCTCCTCGTTTTCTTCCTTTTCCTCCTCATCCTTTCCCTCATCGTCTCCCTCCTCTTCCCCCTCCTCAGTCTCCTCGTCTTCCTCCCTCTCCTCCATTATAATCTCCTCAACCTCCTCTCCTTCTCCTTCCTCCCCCTCTCCGCTCCCCACTTCCCCACTCCTTGGCTCGATAGCAAAAAACTGAGTACAGATCAAGTTCCTATCCCTGTTAGTAGATGCCTCGTTATTCGTTCTGGCTGGATATTGGGTGCAGATTACATTCCTCTCCTTCCAGTCCTTACTCCCCTCTTCACTCCCCACACCAACACCTTTCTGAGACGCGTCCAAACGTTTACTTCCCTCATCACTCCCCACACCAACGGATTTCTGAGACGCGTCCAAGGTCCTATTCCCCTCATCGCCCCCCACACCCGCAGCACCACTCCCCACACCAGCGCACCCCTCTTTCTCCTCGCCCAGCCTCCCCTCCCCAGGTCCCTCCACCAGAACCACATCGCTATCCTCCTCTTCTAAATGTCTCCCTCTCTCCCCTCCCTCCCCTCCTTCCTCTCCCTCCTCCCTCTGCCCCCTCACCCTCAACCTTTCCGCCTCCTCTTCACCATCCAGCCGACCACAAGCCCCCTTGCTCCGACTACTCTTCCTCCCTCGTGCTCCTCCCTTTCTCCCACCCATCCCACGCTTCAGTGCAAAACCCTTTGACACTCCACCCACTCCTCGATACCTCCTCGATCTCCCTGCTCCTTTCTTACCCTGTTGACTGTTGTCCGCCCTAGCAACCCTCATCCGCTTCCCTCTGATGCGTGCTCCCTTTCTCCCTCCCTTCCTTTTTCTCCCCATCCTGTCGTCTCCATCCTCGTCCTCACTCCCTCCCAATCCAACCCCTCCCCCACCTACTTCACAATCACACTTAGAAACTCCAGCAACCACCTCCGTTCTTCTTCTTCTCTTCGTAATGCCCTTTTTGGCCCCCACGCTTTCCTGGAAGAGTTTCCTTTTCAAGCAGCCACCAGCCATACCCTGGCCCTCGGTACTGTGGCATCTGGTATCATCATTGTTACCACGATAACGCTGGTTACAGTGCTGATGGTAACCACCAACGCATTCGTTACCATGCTGTTGGTCACTTCCAAGCTGTTTGTTGCAACCCCCTTCCAGCTGATGACACGTGGAGCATGGCAACGTCCGGGTGCCTCTGATGAGCTGGCGGACAGCAGAGGCGTCCAATAGGAAAACGCCATTCGTCCCAAAATCGAGCACAGTCCTGAAACAGCAGGAGGACGTGGTAGGTCTTAGCTTGGAAGAGAAGAAGACGCATTCACAACACCGAGACAAAGGCGAAACACAACCCATCCCCCTCTCCCATTTCCCTCTTCCAGGCAAGCATCATAATGGCTGGATAGGACATGCCCTTCATCATACCTGAGTCGTGTAGCTGGTGGGGACTTTGATTCTGGGGCTCGGCCTGCTGCTGGTGTCTCTGCACAGGGTGCTACTGATGCTGCTGCTGGTGCGGATATTGCTGGTGCTGCTGGTGTTGCTGCAGCTGTTGTAGCTGGAGCTGGTGTTGACGCTGGCGTTGTCACTGTTGGCTCGTAATCAGTTGACGTGAGGGCGGGCTGGATCAGGCAGCCCACTCGGACACCCTGATACAGGAAGAGTACGGGATTCCACGAATGAGAGAGATAGAATGTGGGAGATAGTACAGAACACGATGAGTCCTATTCATGAGTGAAGGCCGGATCAGGCAGCCCACTCGGAAACCCTGATACAGGAACAGAGCACAATACGATGAGAGGTACAGAATAAGATGAAAACTACATGATAAGAGTAAAAATACAGGTTAAGACCAGATACACAAGTTAAGAGGAGATATATGAAAGAAACGAGATAGGATGAAAGGTACGGGATAGAACGAGGGATTAATGGCCTTATCATAAAAGTACCCCTAACACTCCACACGCCTCAAAACGCCTCAACCACTGCCTGGAGCCAACACTCCACACGCCTCTTGTAACATTCACACCAATAGATTCACACCCATTACACTCACGAAAAGCGTGGCGTTAGGGTTCCGCTGGTCCACGGCAAACTCGAGGTGAATGGCGTCGGGAGCGAGAAAACCCTGCAGCTCATCATTCCGAGGCTCATCATGACGAGATGGCGTTCCAGTCAATACATGCTCGTTGTGATGTGAACCGACATTCTCAAGGTGCTGTGAAAGCCTTCCAACGGACGGCGATCCGTATTGTTCCGACGCGCTGACGTGGAAGCTTCCGAAGCCCTTAAAGACCCAGCTAGGCTCCGGAGAGGGAAGGTTTGCAGGATTAGCTGGTTCAGCGACCGAACCAGCTGGTTCGGTGCTAGGCCCGTTAGCATTGTGAGGGGTGTCAGGATCGCTAACACGGCTGCGGTTCAGAGATGCATGCGGATTGAGCCATGGCTGCGCTTTTAGCCAGGCACAGCGATCCATGCGTAAATAAATACCAGCAATTCGAAAAACAGCGATTTAAAAACGAGGAAAGGGATGCGAAGGGTATTTCTATGACATGCAAAGGATTGCGCGAGAAGCGCTGTTGAAAAGGGAGAAGCAAACAGGATTGAGAAAGCTCTGACTAACTCCGCAAGACTCGTGTAGCCAAGTTTCCACTCGTGGGCTAGATGCAAGTTCTGACAATCCCTGTGCTTTGACTGTCCTGAGTTTTCCTGTTTCCTGGGAAAACCGAGGCTGGTTCGGCAGCTTCAAGGTGACGACAACGATGAAACTGACACCCTCGATATATCGTCCTGGCGTACACTGTTCGGATCATGGTAAAGCTTTTGAGAACACTCATAAAGCCATTTCATAATGCAATGATTGGAACATTTATGACCTTGTCCCCCTTGTTGTTTTGAATATGCGTATAATGCTGTAAATCGATCACATTTTACTGAAACCAACTCGTGACACAACGTCAAACCATGGGACGTCATGTCTGCCCATATTGAGAATAGTTAGTAAATAACATTTTAGTACGGTACGTCTTCGAGCTATGATTTATAGCATTAACTCAACGCATACCGTGTGTGGAGATCCACGACCAGTAGTTTTCATGGTGCCAGAGACAAACAGCAAGCATGATGTACCCCTGTTGAGAATGTTGAAAATCGCTGCCAACCCATGGAGTGTCACGTCTGCCCGTATTAAGACTAGTTAGTGTTTTAGATTTCAATAGAATAGTCAGTAGGTCTTCGAGCTATAATCTATAGCATTTAACTCAACACATACCGTATTTGGAGCTCCACGACCAGTGGCTTTCATGGTGCCAGAGACAAACAACAAGCATGATGTAGCCCTGGTATGACACATTCCAAGGTACAGCATGTGATGTGATAATGTCACCCCTACAACAGCCCCTGACGCCATGTGTCTCCCCGGATACAGCTTGTGATGCGTGTGAGTCATGGACCCCCCACAGCCCCTGCTGTCAGAGTATTCACCACACGGAGCAATGTAGCAGCATGTGGTGTGGAGTGTGGACATGCAGCATGTGTACGTCTATCTAGCTCCATGAGCGGCCAATGTTCATGCTGTTTGGAGCAACGTTCCAGAAGCTTGGTACAGCTAGTGGACGGGGTGGCAGCACAGCAGCACATGCCACAATGCATCAGCACGACCTGCTTACATCATACTAATCATCCAATGAATATGGTGAACATCATTATTAGTTACAGCCTACCAGGGCACGAGCTGTGCCCCAACAATATTGACAGCTCTGAAGTCTTTCTATGCGCATCACATAATCTACACAACCGGAGCTGCAAGGGAAAGAACAATGCAAATGTAACACTAGATTGCCACAGGATTCCCTAAAGATGGAACTATAAAAAAAACACCTTAAGCAGGCGGCCTGATAAGGTTATCCACACCGTGCACCTTGATGAATTTACCGCTGAACAGGTCGGGCTTGTCTACCCGCACCCACGACAGCGGGCCGGAGTTGGGCCGGCCGAACCCCACCTCGTTGCCAGCGGGCGGGAGAAGCTTGTTGAGCGCGGCGGAGCTCGCTTGCGTCCCGAACTTCTGGAAAAAGTTTGTCTCGAGAAGGTCCTTGTTCTTGATCACCCAGTCCTTTGCGGCGGGGCTCACGGCCTTGCGCTCTACTGGGCGGTTCTTGTAAAGGGAGCGCAGCTGCGTGCCGCGGGGAAGGTTCTTCATTTGGCCGAAGGAGAAGCGCCCGCGAATGATGTTGTAGCGGGCGAGTTTGGTAACCATCTTGGGGTTGAAGAGCGCGCGAAGGCCGAATTTCGCGAGGGCGGAGTCGGTGGGGACGAGAACCGTGGTGTTTTCGACGAGCTTCAGCTTGCCGTTCGGGAAGTTGCCTGGGAATGGGCTCGCGCGATATTGCAGCAGTGAAACGCAGTTGGGATGGGAACAGGATGGAAGGGGAGGGGAAGGGAAGGAAAGGAGCGGGTGAAACGGGAACAATATGCATCCTTCCTTGCGGCCAGGAAACTCAGCCAGGAACGGAAGGACAGAGCAGGAGGGATGACAGGGCAAGTGTAAGCCGACGAGCGGCGGGTGGCCACACCGGAGTAAAGGTGTGAGAAGAGCTCAGCGAAAAAGCAGGACAACCTGAGGGCGCAGCTTATAAGAACGGCGGGCGTGGGCTTAAGAACAGGGCCGAGGTGCGATGAGTAAGCACAACAAGTGCGCAGAGAGAAAGCAAGACAGTACCACGGTCGCAGGGGAAAAGCAGAGGTGCAAAGAGCAAGCAAGACGGAAGAGAAGGCGTACTAAGGGTGGAGAACACTTTGGCCGGAAGGCTGTAGCCCGGCTGCCCAGCGAGGATGCTCGCTACTTGCTTCAGCTCCGCGCGAAACGTCGTCGCAGGTGGCGATACGGGCGACGTGCTGGCCGACATGCTGGGCGACGTGATGGGCGACGTGATGGGCGACGAGATGGGCGCCGGTTTGGGCAATGAGTCAGGCGACGGCCGGGGAGCGAACTGAGCAGCAGCTGCTGAGGTGAGGAGAAGTGAGGTCGCGAGGAGCGCTAGAGCAACTCTCGAAGCCATGGCTGAGCAAGTCAGTTACAAAAGAGCTGGCTGAATGGCACGCTTCCAGGTATTCTGCTGCCGGGGAAATCAAGTTAGGCAGGTAGACACTGAGGCTAGTTAGCAAGTGAGCGAAGTCGAGCGTATTTTGATTATCTCAGCTGGAGCAAGTGAGACTTATAAACTAGAGCAAGGGGTGGTAGGTTAGGCGAACCAAGGGCGTTAGGGCTTGCCCGATTTGCTGTTGAGGTGGGATCGCACACGCAGGTGTGGAAATGTAGACGACAACATTTTGCCCAGGGCGATTCCTCACGACGCAGATACCTTTTTCGGGTTGGTTACGGCGCCGCCAACGACCCGTCGCTCGCAAAATGGAACGCTGCAAATTGAATTGGCTGCACCTAGATGAAAGTGTGCTGGGTGTGTGGACCCTGGGTTTTGACGTGGCGCGTCGCACACCCTGGGTTCTTGTCCCAGCGATCGCGTAGGCATCACAAGTAGTCGTCGAGATGCATTCGACGACTGAGTACGACCACCACTACCCTGGTTTGAGCGACATTTTACAGGGAAGCCCTCACCCCTACAGGCACAGATTGCAGACACTCATCGAGGCGCTCCAATGTTGGCGAGCCGCATTTGAATTGACGCTGGACACCATCCACGTCACCAAAGCGCATTCGTTACAGCAGCGTCCCATCGTTGAAGGCACATCAATCCACGGCATTATAAAAACAATGGAAAACGTTACTGTTACGAGTGCAATTGAGTGAGCGAGCTAGAATTGCACTATCGAAGCAAGAGTACAATGAGCGAAGGCATGAGCGAAGAATATATAGCGAAACTACTGTGGTAACGGTAATGGACTGTGGTTCTCGCGCGACGTGCCTGGGACTGAGGTTGGGGAAAATGTCGAAGCGGAGGCCCGGAGCGCGGGTTACCCGCTGAGCCGTGAGGTCGGGGTGCGATGTGCGAAGGTGGCGGGAGGATTGTCGATGCGAGGGTTGCGAGTGGTAACGGTGCTGACTGTGGTGCTACAGTGGTGTACGCGCTGAGCGGGGACGCGAAGTAAGGAAAATATTTTTTCCTTACACTACCCCCCCCCCCCCCCCCCCCTAAGGAGGTCCTTACGAAAGCACGTATACATCCCTGAAGTTTCGGCTGCGCAGATACTCGGTGAGGACGGGGTGGTTTTCGATTCTATCCAGGGGAACCCAGTTGTCTTCGGTGGGTGTACGGTCTTTCCATCGGATCAGGAACTAGATCCTTCGGGCTCCTCGAGGGTCACGAACTCTGTGGCTCAGAATTTTCTCGGGTGTGATGATTGGTTCAGTTGGCGGTCGGGTCATGCTGGCTGGGCGATTACGTGGCAGTTGGCTTGTGGATGGGACGTAAGGGCGAAGCAGGCTAACATGGAATGAGGGGTTGACGTACCAGTCAGCGGGGAGAAGGAGGTGGGCGGTGACGGGCGTAATCATGTGGCTTGTGCGAAATGACCCGCAATATCGGGGGCGGAGTTTTGGGGTGATGGGCAGTTGGAGGTTCTGAGTGTCGAGTAAAACTAGGTCGTCAGATTGGTAGATGATAGGTCGGCGGTGGCGGTCGGCATTACGTTTAGAGACGATGTTCGATTTTTTAATTGCGTCTGCTGCCCGGGTCCGTGTTGCTTGTAATATTTCGGCGAACTGTTGTGCTCGTGGCACTGGGTTGTCGGGATTCGGGGTCATGGGTACTGTCGGGTCTTGTCTGTAGTTCAGGTAAAACGGTGACTGTTGGGTCGTGGCGGACGGTGAGTTGTTGTATGCGAACTCAATGAGTGGCAGCTGTTGTTCCCATGTGCTTGGGTCGTCGCACGTGGCTCAGATGAGTTGCTCCATTGTATGGTTTGTCCGTTCTGTCTGTCCGTCGGTTTCGGGGTGGTACGAAGAACTGAACTGTAGTCGCATGCCGAAGTGCTGCCACAGGTTCCGCCAGAAGTTGCTGGTGAATTTCGTGTCGCGGTCGCTGATTATTGCTGCTGGTATCCCGTGCAGTCGAACGACGGTGGAGATGAAGAGGCGTGTTGTTTCTTCGGCTGTGATTGATTTTTTGCAGGCTGCGAAGTGTGCCATTTTCGTCAGTCGATCGACAACGACCAGGATCACGTCGTTCCCACTCGCCCCAGCCGGTAACCCCGTGACGAAATCCATCGTCACCTGCTGCGAAGCACGCTCTGGGGGTGGTATCGGCTGCAACTGTCCTGCCGGCCGCTGCCGTAATGTTTTCATGAGCTGGCAAGTAGGACACGATGCCACGTGTCGTTGTACGTCGGTCAACATTTCGGGCAAGTAATAATACCGCTGCAGCTGCTGCCGTGTTTTCTCTACCCCGAAATGCCCCAAGGTAACTCCGTCGTGTGCCTCCTGTAACAGTAATTTCCGTAGCAGTGTATACCCAGGCACCCAGATGCGGTCGGTCCCGGTTTTTACGTAATAGACTCCCCTTGCGGCTGCGAACTGCTGCGAATTTCTTCATGTGAAGAATGGATCCTTTTGGTACCCGTGGGTAAATGGGTCTGTCAGTAGGGGGCTGGTCTGGGCGAGTAGTATTGCATGGATCTGGGCAGTGGGGCGGGTCAGTGCGTTGGCGATGTTCGAGGCTCCCTTTTTGTAGGTGACCGTGTAGTGAAAATTTGACTCGAGAAAATTGACAAAACTTGAGCTAGGCTAAGGAGCCATAGCTAGTTAGGAGGAGAGTTGAGGTCGAGTGGGTTTAGGTAAGTCGAGAAGATTTCAAGAAAGTGAGGGGTTTCACTATAGAGCGAGGAGTACAAATAGGCAAGAAGGAAAGGTGCACCACCAAACAGAACATTATATTACTACAGTAGTCTACACTACAGGCAGTTACAAAACAATATATAGAAATATATATTATTCTTGACACGCCCCCATAAGTGCCTGTAGGGAAGAATATGCAGTCAACGCCCCCATAATGGGGTACACCAAGCAGAGTGCAGTTGAAGTAGCAGCAGTAGGCAGGGGCAGTGACAACCAGTGCAGAAAACAGAGAACAGAAGGGAGAGAGGAAAGAGAGAGGGAGAGAGAGGAGAGGAGGTGGTAGGCTCTGGTTGGTCACCCCCTACATCCCCTCACCCTCCCCCTCCCCCTCCCCATCCCCCTCACACTGCTGCAGGAGCAGCAGAGGGGGGGGGGGGGGGGGTGCAAACGGAGGAGAATGGGGCCGTAGGGCCAGGGGACCAGACATCACCCATCACCCCCACACCCGCCACCCCCAGTCCCTCCCCGGGCTCCCCCACACTCTCACACCCTCCCCCCCAGCGGCAGCTGCAGCAGAGGGAACAAAAGGAGGAGGAGAAGAGGGGGGGGAGGGAGGGGGGGGGGCCGACGCACGGCCTCCCCGGGCGCCAAAGCAGGCGGCAGAGGGGGCGACGCCTGCCCCCCCCTTCCAGGTCGCGCGGCCCCCGAAGGAGCCGCGACGGGTGACGGGAAAAGGGGGGGGGGCGGTGCACGTGCCCCCGGTGTGCCGCGGCTGACGACAGGGCATGGCCGAGGCGGGGTCGGGGCCGCAAGAGGGCGGGGCCGCAGGTGGCATCGGGGCCTGGGGCGGGTACCGCACGGGCGGCGACGGGCCGGGACGGGCGGCGACGGGCCGGTACGGGCGGCGACGGGGCCGCAGCGGACGGCGGCGCGTCGTACGGGCGGCACGTGACGCCGCGAAGAGCGGCGACGGGCTGGTACGGGCGGCGACGGGCCGGGACGGGCGGCGACGGGGCCGCAGGAGTAGGGCGGCGAGGCCGCAGTGTAGGGCGGCAGGGCCGCGACAGTAGAGAGGCGGCGAGGCCGCGACAGTAGGGCGGCGGGGCCGCTTAAGAAGGGCGGCGAGGCCGCGACAGTAGGGCACACCACGGGGCGTGCAGTACACTCAGTAGTAGCGGAAGCAGGAGTCCAGGAGCGGAACACGCTCTGATAACATGACAAAACTTGAGCTAGGCTAAGGAGCCATAGCTAGTTAGGAGGAGAGTTGAGGTCGAGTGGGTTTAGGTAAGTCGAGAAGATTTCAAGAAAGTGAGGGGTTTCACTATAGAGCGAGGAGTACAAATAGGCAAGAAGGAAAGGTGCACCACCAAACAGAACATTATATAACTACAGTAGTCTACACTACAGGCAGTTACAAAACAATATATAGAAATATATATTATTCTTGACAAAAATCGAGCCAACGAATCTGTCGTGGGTTGAGGTGTGGCTGTGCGCGGAGGTACTGTAGTGATTTATGGTCTGTCCGTACTGTCACGTCTGCGTCGGTCAAGTAACAGCGCCATACTTTGAACGCGTGCACGATCGCAAGCATTCCGCGGTCGTGTATCGGGTAATTTCTCTCGGGCGGATGCAATTTTCGTGACTCGTATGCGATGGGTTGTAGGCCGTTGCCGAAGTCCTATAGCAGTACGGCTCCGATGGCGATGTCGCTTGCGTCGGTAACTACTTCAAATGGGCGTTGTGGGTCGGCGATGCGCAGGACGGGCAGTGAAGAGAGAACATTTTTCAGTGTAGAGAAGGCAGCATGCTCTTTCTCCCCCCACGTAAAAGCGACCCCCTTCCGTAACAAGTCCGTTAGCGGCGTTGTTAACTGTGTCATGTCGGGGACGAACCGACGCACGTAATTGACGACCCCCAAAAAGCTCTGTAGTTCCGTGATATTTGTCGGGGGGTGCCAGACTTTCACCGTGTCTAACTTCTTTGGGTCAATTTCGACCCCAGCCTCCGAAATAACGTGCCCCAAAAACTCTAGCCGGTCCTGAAAAAACTCGCACTTGGAACCCTTTGTCAGTAGCCGATGCTCGTCTAAAATCTTAAACACTGCTTCCAGATCTGCTAAGTGCTGCTGCTTGTCGCGACTGTAGACGAGGATGTCGTAAAGGTAAACTATCGCGCATTTATCTAAAAGTGGTCTAAACGCCTCGTTCATGGTCATCTGAAATGTCGCTGGTGCGTTGGTCAGCCCGAAAGGCATCACGGTGTACT